TCATGCATGCTTGTGGGCTTTCATGCTTGTTTGTGTGCGTTCTTGCTTGCTTGTGTGCGTTAATGCTTGCTTGTGTGTGTACATGCTTGCTTGTTTGCATTCATGCTTGCATGTGTACGTTCATGCTTTCTTGTGTGCGTTCATGCTTGCTAGTGTGCGTTCATGCATGCTTGTGTGCGTTCTTATTTGCTTGTGTGCGGTCATGCTTGTTTTTGTACGTTCATGCTTGCTTATGTGCGTGCATGCTTGCTTGTGTGCGTTCATGCTTGCTTGTGTGCGTTCGTGCTTGAATGTGTGCGTTCATGCTTGCTTGTTGGCGTTCATGCATGCTTGTGGGCGTTCATGCTTGCTTGTGTACGTTCATGCTTGCTAGTGGGCGTTCATGTTTGCTTGTGTATGTTCATGCTTGCTTGTGTATGTTCGTGCTTTCTTGTGTGCGTTCATGCTTTCTTGTGTGCTTTCATGCATGCTTGTGTGCGTTCTTGCTTGCTTGTGTGCGTTCATGCTTGCTAATGGGTGTGCATGCTTGCTTGTGTGCGTTCATGCTTGCTTGTGTGCGATCGTGCATGCTTGTGTGCGTTCGTGTTTGCTTGTGGGCGTTCATGCTTGCTTGTGTGCGTTCATGGTTGCCTGTGTACGTTCATGCTTGCTTGTGTGCTCTCATGCTTGTTTGTGGGCGTTCATGCTAGCTTCTGGGCGTTCAAACTTGCTTGTGTGCATTCATTCCTGCAATTGTGAGTTCGTGCTTGCTTGTGGGCGTTCATGCTTGCTTGTGGATATTCATGCTTGCTTGTGGATATTCATGCTTGCTTGTGTGCGTTCATTCTTGCTTGTGTGCGTTCATGCTAGCTTGTGTGCGTTCATGCTTGCTTGTGGGCGTTCGTTCTTGCTTGTGTGCGTTCATACTTGCTTGGGTGCGTTCATGCTTGCTTTTGGGCATCATTGCTGGCTAGTATGCGCTCATGCTTGCTTGTGTGCGTTCTGGCTGGCATGTGTACGTTCTGGCTTACTTGTGTGCTTTCTTGCTTGTTTGTGTTCGTCCTGGCTTGTATGTCTGCGTTCATGCTTCCTTTTGGGCGTTCAAGCTTGTTTGTGTGCGTTCATGCTTGCTTCTTTTCGTTCTTGCTTGCTTGTGTGTGTTAATGCTTGCTTGTGTGTGTTCATGCTTGCTTGTGTGCATTCATGCTTTCTTGTGTACGTTCATGCTTTCTTGTTTGCGTTCATGCTTGCTTGTGTGCGTTAATGCATGCTTGTGTGCGTTCTTGCTTGCTTGTGTGCGTCCATGCTTGCTTGTGTGCATTCATGCTTGCTTATGTGCGTGCATGCTTGCTTGTGTGCGTTCATGCTTGTTTGTGTGCGTTCGTGCTTGCTTGTGTGCGTACATGCTTACTTGTGGGCGTTCATGCATGCTTGTGGGCCTTCATGCTTTCTTGTGTGCGTTCATGGTTGCTTGTGTGCGTTCATGCTCGCTTGTGTGCGTTCATGCATCCTTGTGGGCTTAATGCTTGTTTGTGTGCGTTCTTGCTTGCTTGTGTGCGTTAATGCTTGCTTGTGTGTGTTCATGCTTGCTTGTGTACTTTCATGCTTTCTTGAGTGCGTTCATGCTTGCTTGTGTGCGTTCATGCATGCTTGTGTACGTTCATGCTTGCCTATGTGCGTGCATGCTTGCTTGTGTGCGTTCATGCTTGCTTATGTGCGTTCATGCTTGCTTGTGTGCGTTCATCCTTACTTGAGTGCGTTCATGCTTGCTTTTGGGCGTTAATGCTTGCTTGTGTGCGCTCATGCTTGCTTGTACTCACCTAATTGTGCTTGCGGGGGTTGAGCTTTGGCTCTTTGGTCCCGCCTCTCAACTGTCAATCAACTGGTGTACAGATTCCTGAGCCTACTGGGCTCTATCATATCTACATTTGAAACTGTGTATGGAGTCAGCCTCCACCACATAACTTCCTAGTGCATTCCCTTTATTAACTACTCTGACACTGAAAAAATTCTTTCTAACGTCTCTGTGGCTCATCTGGGTACTAAGTTTCCACCTGTGTCCCCTTGTTCGTGTCCCACCCGTGCTGAAGAGTTTGTCTTTGTCCACCCTGTCAATTCCCCTGAGAATTTTGTAGGTGGTTATCATGTCTCCCCTTACTCTTCTGTTTTCCAGGGATGTGAGGTTCAGCTCCTTTAGCCTTTCCTCGTAGCTTAATCCTCTCAGTTCCGGGACGAGCCTGGTGGCATACCGCTGAATCTTCTCTAACTTTGTCTTGTGTTTAACTAGGTATGGACTCTAGGCTGGAGCTGCATACTCCAGGATTGGTCTTACATAAGTGGTATACAGGGTTCTGAAAGATTCCTTACACAAGTTTCTGAAGGCAGTTCTAATGTTGGTCAGTCTAGCATATGCCGCTGATGATATTCTTTTGATGTGGGCCTCTGGGGACAGGTTCGGTGTGATATCAACCCCCAGATCCTTCTCTCTATTTGACTCTTGCAGGATTTCCCCTCCCAGATGATACCTTGTGTTCAGCCTCCTGCTCCCTTCGCCTAATTTCATCACCTTACACTTTCCCGAGTTGAACTTTAGCAGCCATTTTCTAGACCCTTCCTCCAGTTTATCCAGGTCATCCTGTAGTCTCTGTCTATCTTCTCTGTCTATGTCTCTGTCTATCTTGTGTGCGTTCATGCTTGTTTGTGTGCGTTTATCCTTGCTTCTGTGCGTCCATGCTTGCTTTTGGGCGTTAATGCTTGCTAGTGTTCGCTCATGCTTGCTTTTGTGCGTTCTGGCTATCATGTGTGCGTTCTGGCTTACTTGTGTGCGTTCGTGCTTGTTTGTGTGCGTTCTGGCTTGTATTTCTTCGTTCATGCTTGCTTGTGGGCGTTCATGCTTGCTTGTGTGCTTTCATGCGTGCTTGTGTGGGTTCTTGCTTGCTTGTGTGCGTTCATGTTTGCTTGTGTGTGTTTATGCTTGCTTGTGCTCGTTCATGCTTGCTTGTGAGCGTTCATGCTTGCTTGTGTGTGTTCATGTTTGCTTATGTGCGTTCAGGTTTGCTTGTGTGTGGTTATGCTTGCTTGTGTGTGTTAATGTTTGCTTATGTGCGTTCATGCTTGCTTGTGAGCGTTCATACTTGCTTGTGTGTGTTCATGTTTGCTTATTTGCGTTCGCTTTCTTGCTAGCGTTCATGCTTGCTTGTGAGCGTTAATGCTTTCGTGAGTGTGTTCATGCTTGCTTGAGTGCGTGAATGCATGCTTGAGTGCGTTTATGCTTTCTTGTGTGCGTGCACGGTTGCTTGTGTGCGTTCTTGCTTGCTTGTGTGCGTTCATGTTTGCTTATGTGCGTTCATGCTTGCTTGTGTGCGTTCATGCTTGCTTCTGTGCGTTCATGCTTGTTTGTGTGCGTTCATGCTTTCGTGAGTGCGTTCATGTTTGCTTTTGTGCGTGAATGCATGCTTGAGTGCGTTTATGCTTGCTTGTGTGCGTGCATGCTTGCTTGTGTGCGTTCTTGCTTGCTTCTGTGCGTTCATGTTTGCTTATTTGCGTTTATGCTTGCTTGTGTGCGTTCATGCTTGCTTGTGGGCGTTCATGCATGCTTGTGGGCGTTCATACTTGCTTGTGTGCGTTCATAGTTGCTTGTGGGCAGTCATGCTTGCTTGTATGGGTTCTTGCTTGCTTGTGTGCGTTCATATTTGCTTGTGTGTGTTTATGCTTGCTTGTGCTCGTTCATGCTTGCTTGTGAGCGTTCATGCTTGCTTGTGTGTGTTCATGTTTGCTTATGTGCGTTCAGGCTTGCTTGTGTGTGGTTATGCTTGCTTGTGTGTGTTAATGTTTGCTTATGTGCGTTCGTGCTTTCTTGTTAGCGTTCATGCTTGCTTGTGTGCGTTTATGCTTGCTTGTGTGCGTTCATGCTTTCTTTTGGGCGTTATTGCTGGCTAGTGTGCGCTCATGCTGTGCGTTCTGGCTTACTTGTGTGCTTTCTTGCTTGTTTGTGTGCGTTATCGCTTGTATGTCTGCGTTCATGCTTGCTTGTGGGCATTCAAGCTTGCTTGTGTGCGTTCAAGCTTGCTTGTAGGCGTTTATGCTTGCTTTTGTATGTTCATGCTTGCTTGTGTGCATTCGTGCTTTCTTGTGTACGTTCTTGCTTTCTTGTGTGCGTTCATGCTTGCTTGTGTGCGTTCTTGCTTGCTTGTGTGCGTTCATGCTTGCTTGTGTGCGTTCATGCTTGCTTATGTGCGTGCATGCTTGCTTGTGTGCGTTCATGCTTGCTTGTGTGCGTTCGTGCTTGCTTGTGTGCGTTCATGCTTGCTTGTGGGCGTTCATGCATGCTTGTGAGCGTGCTAGTATTCCTAGCTGGCATAATTCCTAGTTATGCCTGCTTGCTGTGTGCTTTCCTGCTTGCTCTGTGCATGCCTGCTTGATTTGAGCATTCCTGCTTGATGTGTACATGCCTTCCCGATTTGTGCATGCCTGCTTGCTGTGTACATGCCTGCTTGATTTGAGCTTGCCTGCTTGCTGGGTACATGCCTGCTTTATTTTTCCATGCCTGCTTGATGTATGCATGCCTGCTTAATTTGTGCATGCCTGCTAGATGTGTGCATGCCTGCTTGATGTGTGCATGCCTGCTCGCTGGGTACATGCCTGCTTGCTGTGTACATGCCTGCTTGATTTGTATATGCTTTCTTGCTGTGTACATGCCTGCATACTGTGTGCATGCCTGCTTGCTGCGCACATGCCTGCTTGCTGTGTGTATACTTGCTAGTTCTGTGCATGCCTGCTTGTTCTGTGCATGCTTGCTTGCTATTTGCATGTCTGCTTGTTCAGTGCATGCCTGCTTGTTCTGTGCATGCCTGCTTGCTATATACATGCCTGCTGGTCCTGAGCATGCCAGTTCTGTGGATGCCTGCTTGTAATGTGCTTGCCTTCTTGTTCTGTGCATGCCTGCTTGATGTGTACATGCCACCTTGATGTGTACATGTCTGCTTGATGTGTGCAGGATTGTTTGTTCTATGCATGCCTGCTTATTCTGTACATGCCTGCTTGTTCTGTGGATGCCTGCTTGTAATGTGCTTGCCTTCTTGTTCGGTGCATGCCTGCTTGTTGTGTGCATGCCTACTTGCTGTATACATGCCTGTTAGATTTGTGCATGCCCGCTTGATGTGTGCGTGCCCGCATGATGTGTACATGCCTGCTTGCTCTGTACATGCCTGCTTGCTGTGTACATGCCTGCTTGCTGTGTGCATGCCTGCTTGCTGTGTACATGCCTGCTTGATGTGTGCATGCCTGGTTGATGTGTGCATGCCTGCTTGCTCTGTGCATGCCTGCTTGCTCTGTGCATGCCTGCTTGCTGTGTACATGCCTGCTTGCTCTGTGCATGCCTGCTTGGAATGTGTATGCCTGGTTGCTGTGTACATGCCTGGTTGGTGTGTACATGCCTGCTTGCTTTGTGCATGCCTGCTTGCTGTGTACTTGCCTGCTTGCTCTGTACATGCCTGCTTGCTGTGTGCATGCTTGCTTGAAATGTGTATGTCTGGTTGCTGTGTATGCCTGGTTGGTGTGTTCATGCCTGCTTGCTTTGTTCATGCCTGCTTGCTGTGTACATGCCTGCTTCCTCTGTACATGCCTGCTTGCTGTGTATATGCCTGCTTGCTGTGTGCATGTTTGCTTGCTCTGTCCATGCCTGGTTTCTGTGTGCATGCCTGGTTGCTTAGTTCATGCCTGCTTGCTGTGTACATGCCTGTTTGCTGTGTACATGCTTGATTGCTGTGTGCATGCTTGCTTGCTCTGTGCATGCCTGCTTTATGTGTGCATGCTTGCTTGCTCTGTGCATGCCTGCTTGATGTGTGCATGCTTGCTTGCTGTGTACTTGCATGCTTGCTGCGTGCATGCCTGCTTGCTGTGTGCATGCCTGCTTGCTGTGTACAGGCCTGCTTGCTGTGTGCATGCCTGCTTGCTGTGTACCTGCCTGCTTGCTGTGTACATGCCTGCTTGCTGTGTGCATGCCTGCTTGCTGTGTACATGCCTGCTTGTTGTGTACATGCCTGCTTGCTGTGTGCATGCTTGCTTGAAATGTGTATGCCTGGTTGCTGTGTATGCCTGGTTGGTGTGTTCATGCCTGCTTGCTTTGTTCATGCCTGCTTGCTGTGTACATGCCTGCTTCCTCTGTACATGCCTGCTTGCTGTGTATATGCCTGCTTGCTGTGTGCATGTTTGCTTGCTCTGTCCATGCCTGGTTTCTGTGTGCATGCCTGGTTGCTTAGTTCATGCCTGCTTGCTGTGTACATGCCTGATTGCTGTGTACATGCTTGATTGCTGTGTGCATGCTTGCTTGCTCTGTGCATGCCTGCTTTATGTGTGCATGCTTGCTTGCTCTGTGCATGCCTGCTTTATGTGTGCATGCTTGCTTTCTGTGTACATGCATGCTTGCTGCGTGCATGCCTGCTTGCTGTGTGCATGCCTGCTTGCTGTGTACAGGCCTGCTTGCTGTGTGCATGCCTGCTTGCTGTGTACCTGCCTGCTTGCTGTGTACATGCCTGCTTGCTGTGTGCATGCCTGCTTGCTGTGTACATGCCTGCTTGTTGTGTACATGCCTGCTTGCTGTGTGCATGTCTGCTTGCTGTGTACATGCCTGCTTGCTGTGTACATACCTGCTTGCTGTGTACATGCCTGCTTGCTGTGTACATGTCTGTATGCTGTGTGCATGCCTGCTTGCTGTGTACATGCCTGCTTGCTGTGTACATGCCTGCTTGCTGTGTGCATGCCTGCTTGCTGTGTACATGCCTGCTTGCTGTATACATGCCTGCTTGCTGTGTGCATGCCTGCTTGCTGTGTACATGCCTGCTTGCTGTGTACATGGCTGCTTGCTGTGTACATGCTTGCTTGCTGTGTACATGCCTGCTTGCTGTGTACATGCCTGCTTGCTGTGTGCATGCTTGCTTGCTGTGTACATGCCTGCTTGCTGTGTGCATGCCTGCTTGCTGTGTACATGCCTGCTTGCTGTGTGCATGCCAGCTTGCTGTGTACATGCCTGCTTGCTGTGTACATGCCTGCTTGCTGTGTGCATGCCTGCTTGCTGTGTACTCGCCTGCTTGCTGTGTGCATGCCAGCTTGCTGTGTACATGCCTGCTTGCTGTGTACATGCCTGCTTGCTGTGTGCATGCCTGCTTGCTGTGTACATGCCTGCTTGCTGTGTACATGCCTGCTTGCTGTGTACATGCCTGCTTGCTGTGTACATGCCTGCTTGTTGTGTACATGCCTGCTTGCTGTGTGCATGCCTGCTTGCTGTGTACATGCCTGCTTGCTGTGTACATGCCTGCTTGCTGTGTGCATGCCTGCTTGCTGTGTACATGCCTGCTTGCTGTGTACATGCCTGCTTGCTGTGTGCATGCCTGCTTGTTGTGTACATGCCTGCTTGCTGTGTGCATGCCTGCTTGCTGTGTACATGCCTGCTTGCTGTGTACATGCCTGCTTGCTGTGTGCATGCTTGCTTCCTGTGTACATGCCTGCTTGCTCTTGTGTCGCTGCTTGCTTCATTAATTTTGTCCACTTCTGATCGCCTTTGTGTCTTCAAGGTTAATTTATTGATGCTTGTTTGAGTGCGTGTGTCGTTGCTTGCGTGCTTGGTTGCTTGTGAGAGTATGCTGTCTTGCGTGCATGAACCCTTGCTTGTGTCCACCTGCTGGATAGTGTTGACTCCTGCTCTCTAATAGTGCATTGATGCTTGCTAGTATACGTAACTGCTTGCTAGTATACGTAACTGCTTGCTAGTATACGTAACTGCTTGCTAGTATACGTAACTGCTTGATAGTATTCGTGACTGCCTGTTAGTATTCGTGACTGCCTGTTAGTATTCGTGACTGCCTGTTAGTATTCGTGACTGCCTGTTAGTATTCGTGACTGCCTGTTAGTATTCGTGACTGCCTGTTAGTATTCGTGACTGCCTGTTAGTATTCGTGACAGCCTGTTAGTATTCGTGACTGCCTGTTAGTATTCGTGACAGCCTGTTAGTATTCGTGACTGCCTGTTAGTATTCGTGACTGCCTGTTAGTATTCGTGACTGCCTGTTAGTATTCGTGACTGCCTGTTAGTATTCGTGACAGCCTGTTAGTATTCGTGACTGCCTGTTAGTATTCGTGACTGCCTGTTAGTATTCGTGACTGCCTGTTAGTATTCGTGACTGCCTGTTAGTATTCGTGACTGCCTGTTAGTATTCGTGACAGCCTGTTAGTATTCGTGACAGCCTGTTAGTATTCGTGACTGCCTGTTAGTATTCGTGACTGCCTGTTAGTATTCGTGACTGCCTGTTAGTATTCATGACTGCCTGTTAGTATTCGTGACTGCCTGTTAGTATTCATGACTGCCTGTTAGTATTCACTACTGCTTGCTATTTCACATGACTAGTAATATATACAGCTGCTTGTTAATATACATAACTGCTTGCTAGTATACAAGGCTGCTTGATAGTATACATAACTCCTTGCCAGTATATATATATTTATGGCTCGTAGTTAGTATACATGACTGCTTGATGGTATATATGCCTGCTTTATAGTATATGTGACTGGTTGCTCGTATGCTTGGCAGCTTGCTAATATTCATGGCTTCTTGCTATTATACATAACTGCCTGCTAGTATACATAGCCGCTTTCTAGTATACATGCCTGCTTCCAAGTATACATGACCGCTTGATGGTGTATAGGCTTGCTAGATAGTATACACGACTGCTTGCTTGAATAAATATATGCTTGATATTATACATGACTGCTTCCTTGTATACATGTTTGCTTGCTAGTATACATGACTGCTTGTTAGAATACTTGGCTGCTTGCTAGTATACATGACTGCTTATTAGTATACATAACTACTTATAGATACATATAGCTGCTTGCTAGTATACATGACAGGCTGCTGGTGTACAGGGCTGCTTTGTAGTCTACATGACTGGTAGATAGTATACATGCATAAATGAAAGTATACCTGAATGCCAAGGTGCATTCCTAGTATGTATAACGTCTTGAACCTTAATGCTGTTATGATTGTCTGATTGTGTTGGTGTCACCATCCTTGTGTGACTGATTGTAGTGTTGTCACCATCCTTGTGTGACTGATTGTGGTGTTGTCACCATCCTTGTGTGACTGATTGTGGTGTTGTCACCATCCTTGTGTGACTGATTGTGGTGTTGTCACCATCCTTGTATGACTGATTGTAGTGTTGTCACCATACTTGTGTGACTGATTGTAGTGTTGTCACCATCCTTGTATGACTGATTGTATTGTTGTCACCATCCTTGTGTGACTGATTGTGGTGTTGTCACCATCCTTGTGTGACTGATTGTAGTGTTGTCACCATCCTTGTGTGACTGATTGTGGTGTTGTCACCATCCTTGTGTGACTGATTGTAGTGTTGTCACCATCCTTGTGTGACTGATTGTAGTGTTGTCACCATCCTTGTGTGACTGATTGTAGTGTTGTCACCATCCTTGTGTGACTGCCTGATTGCTTGCGTGCGTGAACACCTGTTTGGATGATTCTCTGTTTTCTTTGCTGCCATTATTCATTGCTTGAGCATTTGCTTGTTTGCTTGTTTGGGGATTTCTTCCAGTTAGACTGAGTGCGTGCACGCTAAATTGCGTGGTACATGTACGCTGGACTGAGTGAAGGTATAATTGGCAGGGTTCGCCTACACTGATGTAGGCGAACATCAGTGTTGCGTGCACATACGCCTACGTATGTGCACGCAAGCTGTGAGAGTGCTCGCTAGAGTGTGTGCGTGCACACAAGACTGTCTGCGTGCACTCTAGCCTGTGTGTGTTCACGCTTGAATCTGTACGTGGACATATGGCTGTGAGTGTTTGCATGCCTGTCTCAGTGCGTGTACGCTTTACTGTTTGCGTGCACGCTAGACAGTGTGAGTGCACTCTACAAAGCTTGCGTGAATACTTTAGTGTGTGCGTGCACGCTAGACAGTGTGAGTTCACGCTTGACTCTGCACTTGCAACCTAGAATTTATGCGTGTACGCTTAACTGTGTACGTGCACGCATGACTGTGTGCATGCATGACTTTGCGTGCACTCATGACTAATTGCACTCATAATTCTGCGTACTAGCTTGTCCATGTGCGTGCATGCTTGATTTAGAGCGTCATGCATGGCTGTTAGTGAACGGTGAACATGCACGCAAGAAGTATGAGTGCATGACTGCGTGCCTTCTAAACCATGTGCGAGCATAAATGACTTTTTGCGTGCATGCTAGACAGCGTGAATGTAGCGCTTTACTGTTTGCGTGCACGCTAGACTGTTTGGTGCGTGCACGATTGCTTGCTTACACGCTTTAATGAATGCGTGTTTACCTCACTGTGAGTGCACGAATAGACCATCTGCGTGCACTCTTGATTGTGTGCGTGCACGCTTGGGTGTGTGCGTGCACTCTTGATTGTGTGCGTGCACGCTTGGGTGTGTGCGTGCACTCTTGATTGTGTGTGTGCACTCTTGATTGTGTGCGTGCACGCTTGGGTGTGTGCGTGCACTCTTGATTGTGTGCGTGCATGCTTGGGTGTGTGCGTGCACTCTTGATTGTGTGCGTGCACGCTTGGGTGTATGCGTGCACTCTTGATTGTGTGCGTGCATGCTTGGGTGTATGCGTGCACTCTTGACTGTGTGCGTGCACGCTTGGGTGTATGCGTGCACTCTTGATTGTGTGCTTGCACGTTTGGGTGTATGCGTGCACTCTTGATTGTGTGCGTGCACGCTTGGGTGTATGCGTGCACTCTTGATTGTGTGCGTGCATGCTTGGGTGTGTGCGTGCACTCTTGATTGTGTGCGTGCACGCTTGGGTGTATGCGTGCACTCTTGATTGTGTGCGTGCACGGTTGGGATTGTGCGTGCACGCTTGGGTGTGTACCTGCACTCTTGATTGTGTGCGTGCACGCTTGGGTGTGAGCGTGCACGGTTGGGATTTTGCGTGCACGCTTGGGTGTATGCGTGCACTATTGATTGTGTGCGTGCACGGTTGGGATTGTGCGTGCACACTTGGGTGTGTGCGTGCACGCTTGGGTGTGTGCGCGCACGCTTGGGTGTGTGCGTGCACTCTTGATTGTGTGCGTGCACTCTTGGGTGTGTGCGTGCACGCTTGGGTGTGTGCGTGCACTCTTGATTGTGTGCGTGCACTCTTGGGTGTGTGCGTGCACGCTTGGGTGTATGCGTGCAGGAAGTCGCTCGCATACAATAATTACATTCAAATCTGAATATGGAACTGGCTTACGTTCTTCCAGTGCCCAATAGCGTCCGTTCGCTGAACGGTTCGTTAATTCGAACAATGCTTCTATATCAACGTCGTCAATCATAATAATGATCTGGTAGGTCGTGATCATGTCTGCCCAAGCCTCCGTCCCTCCAGTGTGTAGTGTTGAGAATGACAAGGTTGGACGAGTGGTGTTCGTGCCGTCAGGTGATCATAGGTGTTTGTTTGTTTGTGTCAGGCAGTTGTGTCCTGTGCTCACCTATTAGCGCTTGCTGGGGTTGAGCTTTGGCTCTTTGGTCCCGCCTCTCAACTGTCAATCAACTGGTGTACAGGTTCCTGAGCCTATTGGGCTCTATCATATCTACACTTGAAACTGTGTATGGAGTCATCCTCCACCACATCACTGTCTAGTGCATTCCATCTGTTAACTACTCTGACACTGAAAAAGTTCTTTTTAACGTCTCTGTGGCTCATTTGGGCGCTCAGTTTCCACCTGTGTCCCCTTGTGCATGTATCACCAGTGTTGAATAATTTATCCTTGTCCACCCTGTCAATTCTCCTGAGGATTTTGAATGTAGTGATCATGTCCCCCCTTTATCTTCTGTCTTCCAGTGTCGTAAGGTGCATTTCCCGCAGCCTTTCCTCGTAACTAATGCCTCTTAGTTCTGGGACTAGTCTAGTGGCATATCTCTGAACTTTTTCCAGCTTCGTCTTGTGCTTGACAAGGTACGGGCTCCATGCTGGGGCCGCATACTCCAGGATTGGTCATACATATGTGGTGTACAAGATTCTGAATGATTCCTTACACAGGTTCCTGAATGCTGTGTTTCTGTGTTTGGCAGCTGGAGGAGCCAGGTGTGTACAGGTCACATGTGGCGCTGGTTGGTGGTCGCCTAGATATATTTAGCAGGTGTTTGGACTTGTTGGTATTATATATGTAAACAGAGGTCTCCTCCTCCTAATATGTGCTCGATGAGGATACAACAATGGACAGTGGTTCAGGACTTGACGGTGGTCCAGGACTTGATAACGGCCCAGGACTTAATAATGGTCCAAGACTTGACAGTGGTGAGAACTTGATAATGGTCCAGGACTTTATAATGGTCCAGGATTCGACAGTGACCCAGGACTTGACAATGGTCCAGGACTTGATAATGGTCCAGGACTTGATAATGGTCCAGGACCTGACAGTGGTCCAGGACGTGATAAGGGTCCAGGAAATGATAATGGTCCAGGACTTGATAATGATCCAGGACTTGACAGTGGTCCAGGACTTGACAATGGTCCAGGACATGATAATGGTCCAGGACTTGATAAAGGTCCAGGAATTGACAGTGATCCAGGACTTGATAATGGTCCAGGCTTGATAATGGTCAAGGACATGATAATTGTCTAGGAATTGATAAGGGCAAAGGACAAGATAATGGTCCAGGACTTGATAATGGTCCAGAACTTAACAGTGGTCTAGGACTCGACAATGGTCCAGGACTTGACAGTAGTCCAGGTCTTGAGAATGGTCCAGGACATGATAAAGGTCCATGACATGATAGTGGTCAAAGAATTGATAGTGGTCCAGGACTTGACAGTGGTCCAGGATTTGATAATGGTCCAGGACTTGATAATGGTCCAGGACTTGATAATGGTCCAGGACTTGATAATGGTCCAGGACATGATAATGGTCCAGGACTTGATAATGGTCCATGACTTGATTCTTGTCCAGAACTTGACAGTGGTCCAGGACTTGATAGTGATCCAAGACTTGACAGTGGTCCAGGACTTGATAATGGTCCAGGACATGACAGTGGACCAGGACTTGACAGTGGTCCAGGACTTGATAATGGTCCAGGACTTGATAATGGTCCAGGACTTGACAGTGGTCCAGGACATGATAGTGGTCCAGGACTTGATAGTGGTCCAGAATTAATAGTGGTCCAGGACATGAGAGTGGTCCAGGACTTGATAGTTGTCCAGGATTTGATAATGGTCCAGGACATGATAGTAGTACAGGACTTGATAATGGTCCAGGACTTGATAATGGCCCAGGACATAATAATGGTCCAGGACATGATAATGCTCCAGGACTTGATAGTGGTCCAGGACTTGACAGTGGTCCAGGACTTGATAATGGTCCAGGACTTGATAATGGTCCAAGACTTGATAATGGTCCAGGACTTGACAGTGGTCCAGGATTGACAAAGGTCCAGGATCTGATAATGGTCCAGGACTTGACAGTGGTCCAGGACTTGACAGTGGTCCGGGACTAGATAATGTTCCAGGACTTGATAATGATCAAGGACTTGACAGTGGTCCAAGACTTGATAATGGTCCAGGACTTGATAATGGTCCAGAACTTGATAATGGTCAAGGTCTTGATAATGGTCTAGGACTTGATAACGGTCCAGGACTTGATAGTAATCCATGACTTGATAATGGTCCAGGAGATGATAATGGCTCAGGACTTGATAATGGTCCAAGCCTTGATAATGACGCAGGACTTGATAATGATTCAGGACTTGATAAAGGTCCAGAACTTGATAATAGTCCACGACTTGACAGTCGTCCAGGACTTGATAATGGTCTAGGACTTGATAATGGTCCAGTGCTTGATAATGGTCCAAGACTTGATAGTGGATCAGGACTTGATAGTGGTCCAAGACATGATAATGGTCCAGGACTTGACAATGGTTCAGGACTCGATAGTGGTCCAGGACATGATAATGGTCAAGGACTTGAAAATGGTCCAGGTCTTGATAATAGTCCAGGACTTTATAATGGTCCAGGGATCGAAAATGGTCCAGGGATTGAAAATGGTCCAGGACCTGACAGTGGGCCAGGACTTGATAATGGTCCTGGAATAGATTATGGTCCAGGACTTGATAATGGTCAAGGCCATGATAATGGTCTAGGAATTGATAATGGCCCAGGACAAGATAATGGTCCAGGACTTGATAATGGTCAAGGCCATGATAATGGTCTAGGAATTGATAATGGCCCAGGACAAGATAATGGTCAAGGACATGATAATGGTCTAGAACTTAACAGTGATCTAGGACTTGTCAATAGTGGAGGAATTGACAGTGGTCCAAGACTTGATAATGGTCCAGGACATGATAGTGGTCCAGGACTTGATAGTGGTCCAGGAATTGACAGTGGTCCAAGATTTGACAATGGTCCAGGACTTGACAGTGGACCAGGATTTGAAAATAGTCCAGGACTTAACAGTGTACCAGTACTTGATAATGGTCCTGGACTTGATAATGGTCCAGGACTTGATGATGGTCAAGGACATGATAATGGTCTAGGAATTGATAATGACCCAGGACAAGATAATGGTCCAGGACTTGATAATGGTCCAGGAATTGATAATGGTCCATAACTTGAAAGTGGTCCAGGACTTGACAGTGGTCCAGGACTTGATAATGGTCCAGGACTTGATAATGGTCCAGGACTTGACAGTGATCCAGCACTTGACAGTGGTCCAGGACTTGACAGTGGTCGAGGACTTGATAATGGTTCAGGACTTGATAATGGTCTTGGATTTGATAGCTGTCCAGGACTTGACAATGGTCCAGGACTTGATATTAGTTCAGAACTTGATAGTGGTCCAAGACCTGACAGTGGTTAAGGACTTGATAATGGCCCAGGACTTGATAATGGTACAGGACTTGATAATGGTCCAGTACTTGATAATGGTCCTGGACTTGATAGTGGTCCGTGACTTGACAGTGGTCCGAACATGGTAATGGCCCACGACTTGATAGTGGTTCAGGATTTGATAATGGTCCAGGTCTTGACAGCGGTCCAGGACTTGACAGTGGTCCAGGACTTGAAAACGGTCCAGTACACGATAGTGATCCAGGACTTGATAATGGTCCAGGACGTGGCAGTGGTCCAGAACTTGATAATGGTTTAGGAATAGACAGTGGTCCAGAACTTGATAATGGCCCAGGTGTTAATATTGGCCCAGGTGTTAATATTGGCCCAGGACATGATAATGGTAGAGGACTTGACAGTGGTCCAGGACTTGATAAAGGTTCAGGAATTGACAGTGGTCCAGGACTTGATAATGGCCCAGGAGTTAATATTAGTCCAGGATTTGATAATGGTAGATTACCTGACAGTGGTCTAGGACTTGACAGTGGTCTAGGACTTGATAATTTCCAACGACTTGATAGTAGTCCAGGACAGGCCAGTGGTCCAGGACTTGATAATGGTCCAGTACCTGATAGTGGTCCAGGACTTGACAGTGGTCGAGGACTTGAAAATGGCCCAGAACTTAACAGTAATCCAGGACTTGACAGTGGTCCGCCTGGACGTGATAATGGTTCAGGACTTGACAGTGGTCCAGGACTTGATAATGGTCCAGGACGTGACAGTGGTACAGGACTTGAGATTGGTTCATGAATTGACAGTGGTCCAGGAGTTGATAATGGTCCAGGACTTGATTATGACGAAGGACTTGATAGTGGTTAAGGACTTGATATACGTCCAGGACTTGACAATGGTCCTGGACATGACAGTGGTCCAGGACTTGAGTATGGTCTAGGACTTGATAATGGTCCAGAATTTGATAATAGTCCAAGACTTGATGATGGTCCAAGGCTTGATAATGGTCTGTGATTAATAGTGGACCAGCATATGATAGTGGTCCAGGAATTGATAGTGACTTGATTACTTGATAGTGGTCCAAGACTTGGTTATGGTCCAGGACTTGATAGTGGTCCAAGACTTGATTATGGTCCAGGACTTGATAGTGGTCCAGGACTTGATAATGGTCCTGGACTTGTAAGTGGTCCAGGACTTGACAGTGGTCCAGGACATGATAGTGGTCCAGGACTTGTTAATGGTCAAGAACTTGATAATGGTCTAGGACTTGATAATGATTTTTTATTTGATAGTGGTTCAGGACTTGACTGTGGTCCAGGACTTGATTATAGCTCAGTACTTGATAGTGAACCAGGACTTGACAGTGATCAAGGAATTGATAATGGTACATGACTTGTTAATGGTCCAGTACTTGATAATGGTCCTGGACTTGATAGTGGTCCAGGACTTGACAGTGGTCCAGAACTTGATAATGGCTCACGACCTGATAGTGGTCCAGGACTTGATATGGTCCAGGTCTTGACAGCGGTCCAGGACTTGATAATAGATCAGGAATTCACAGTGGTCCAGGACTTGATAATAGCCCAGGAGTTAATATTTGTCCAGGATTTGATAATGGTAGAGGACCTGACAGTGGACTAGGACTTGACATTGGTCCAGGACTTTATAATGGCCCACGACTTGATAGTGGTCCAGGTTTTGATAATAGTCCAGGATTTGACAGTGGTCCAGGACTTGACAGTGGTCCAGGACTTTATAATGGCCATCGACTTGATAGTGGTTCAAGACTTGACAATAGTCCAGGACTTGATAATGGTTTAGAACTTGATAATGGTCCTGGACATGACAGTGGTCCAAAACTTGATAATGGTCTAGGACTTGATAATGGTCCAGACTTTGATAATAGTCCAAGACTTGATAATGGTCCAAGGCTTGATAATGGTCTGTGATTGATAGTGGACCACCATATGAACGTGGTCCAGGAATTGATAATGGTCCTGGACTTGACAGTGGTCCAGGAATTAATAATGGTCCTGGACTTGATAGTGGTCCAGAGCTTGACAATGGTCCTGGACTTGAGAATGGGTCCTGGACTTGATAGTGGTCCAGTACATGACAGTAGTCCAGGACATGATAATGGACTAGGACTTGATAGTGGTCCAGGACTTGACAGTAACGTAGGATTTGATATTAGTCTAAGACTTTATTTTGGTCCAGGACCTAGATAATGGTCTAGGATTTAATAGTGGTCCACGACTTAATAGTGGTCCAGGACATGATAATGGTCCAGGACTTGATAGTGGTCCAAGACTTGATTATGGTCCAGGACATGATAATGGTCCAGAACTTGATAATAGTCCAGGACATGATAATGGTCCTGGACTTGACAGTGGTTCAGGACTTGACAGTGGTCCAGAACTTGATAATGGCTCACGACCTGATACTGGTCCAGGACTTGATATGGTCCAGGTCTTGACAGCGGTCCAGGACTTGATAATAGATCAGGAATTGACAGTGGTCCAGGACTTTATAATGGCCCACGACTTGATAGTGGTCCAGGTTTTGATAATGGTCCAGGACTTTATAATGGCCCACGACTTGATAGTGGTTCAAGACTTGACAATAGTCCAGGACTTGATAATGGTCCAGAACTTGATAGTGGCCCAGGACATAATTATGGTCCAGGACTAGGCAGTTGTCCAGGACTTGACAGTCGTCGAGGACTTGATAATGGCCCAGGACTTGACAGTGATCCAAGACTTGACAGTGGTGCAGGACATGATAATTGTCCAGGACGTGACAGTGGTACAGGACTTGAGATTGGGTCAGGAATTGACAGTGGTCCAAAAGTTGATAATGGTCCAGGACTTGATTATGACGAAGGAATTGATAATGGTCCAGGACTTGATTATGACGAAGCACTTGATAATGGTTCAGGACTTGAGAATGGGTCCTGGACTTGATAGTGGTCCAGTACATGACAGTGGTCCAGGACTTGATAATGGCCTAGGACTTGATAGTTGTCCAGGACTTGACAGTAACGTAGGATTTGATAATAGTCTAAGACTTGATTTTGGTCCAGGACTTGATAATGGTCTAGGACTTAATGGTGGTCCATAACTTAACAGTGGTCCAGTACATGATAATGGTCCAGGACTTGATAGTGGTCCAAGAATTGATTATGGTCCAGGACATGATAATGATCCAGAACTTGAAAATGGTGAAGGACTTGGTAATGGCGCACGACCTGATAGTGGTCCAGGACTTGATATGGTCCAGGTCTTGACAGCGGTCCAGGACTTGATAATAGATCAGGAATTGACAGTGGTCCAGGACTTGATAATGGCCCACGACTTGATAGTGGTCCAGGTTTTGATACTGGTCCAGGACTTTATAATCTCCCACGACTTGATAGTGGTTCAAGACTTGACAATAGTCCAGGACTTAATAATGGTCCAGAACTTGATAGTGGCCCAGGACATAATTATGGTCCAGGACTTGGCAGTTGTCCAGGACTTGACAGTGGTCGAGGACTTGATAATAGCCCAGGACTTGACAGTGATCCTAGACTTGACAGTGGTCAAGGACATGATAATGGTCCAGGACGTGACAGTGGTACAGGACTTGAGATTGGTTCAGGAATTGACAGTGGTCCAGGAGTTGATAATGGTCCAGGACTTGATTATGACGAAGGACTTGATAATGGTTCAGGACTTGATATACGTCCAGGACTTGATAATGGTCCAGGACATGACAGTGGTCCAGGACTTGATAATGGTCTAGGACTTGATAGTGGTCCAGAGCTTGATAATGGTCCAGGACTTAAGAATGGGTCCTGGACTTGATAGTGGTCCAGTACATGACAGTGGTCCAGGACTTGATAATGTACTAGGACTTGATAGTGGTTCAGGACTTGACAGTAACGTAGGATTTGATAATAGTCTAAGATTTGATTTTGGTCCAGGACTTGATAATGGTCTAGGATTTAATAGTGCTCCATGACTTAATAGTGGTCCAGGACATGATAATGGTCCAGGACTTGATAGTGGTCCAAGACTTGATTATGGTCCAGGACATGATAATGGTCGAGAACTTGATAATGTTTCAGGACTTGATAATGGTCCAGGACTTGATAATAGTCCAGGACTTGATAATGGTCCTGGACTTGACAGTGGTTCAGGACTTGACAGTGGTCCAGAACTTGATAATGGCTCACGACCTGATACTGGTCCAGGACTTGATATGGTCCAGGTCTTGACAGCGGTCCAGGACTTGATAGTAGATCAGGAATTGACAGTGGTTCAGGACTTTATAATGGCCCACGACTTGATAGTGGTCCAGGTTTTGATAATGGTCCAGGACTTTATAATGGCCCACGACTTGATAGTGGTTCAAGACTTGACAATAGTCCAGGATTTGATAATGGTCCAGAACTTGATAATGGCCCACGACATAATTTTGGTTCAGGACTTGGCAGTGGTCCAGGACTTGACAGTGGTCCAGGACTTGACAGTGGTCGAGGACTTGACAGTGGTCCAGGACATGATAATGGTCCTGGACGTGACAGTGGTACAGGACTTGAGATTGGGTCAGGAATTGACAGTGGTCCAGGAGTTGATAATGGTCCAGGACTTGATTATGACGAAGGACTTGATAATGGTTCAGGACTTGATATACGTCCAGGAATTGATAATGGTCCTGGACATGACAGTGGTCTAGGACTTGATAATGGTCTAGGACTTGATAATGGTCCAGAGTTTGATAATAGTCCAAGACTTGATAATGGTCGAAGGCTTGATAATGGTCTGTGATTGATAGTGGACCACCATATGATAGTGGTCCAGGAATTGATAATGGTCCAGGACTTGACAGTGGTCCTGGAATTAATAATGGTCCTGGACTTGATAGTGGTCCAGAGCTTGATAATGGTCCTGGACTTGAGAATGGGTCCTGGACTTGATAGTGGTCCAGTACATGACAGTGGTCCAGGACTTGATAATGGACTAGGACTTGATAGTGGTCCAGGACTTGACAGTAACGTAGGATTTGATAATAGTCTAAGACTTGATTTTGGTCCAGGACTTGATAATGGTCTAGGATTTAATAGTGGTCCATGACTTAATAGTGGTCCAGGACATGATAATGGTCCAGGACTTTATAATGGCCCACGACTTGATAGTGGTTCAAGACTTGACAATAGTCCAGGACTTGATAATGGTCCAGAACTTGATAGTGGCCCAGGACATAATTATGGTCCAGGACTTGGCAGTTGTCCAGGACTTGACAGTTGTCGAGGACTTGATAATGGCCCAGGACTTGACAGTGATCCAAGACTTGACAGTGGTCCAGGACATGATAATGGTCCAGGACGTGACAGTGGTACAGGACTTGAGATTGGGTCAGGAATTGAGTGTGGTCCAGGAGTTGATAATGGTCCAGGACTTGATTATGACGAAGGACTTGATAATGGTTCAGCACTTGATATACGTCCAGGACTTGATAATGGTCCTGGACATGACAGTGGTCCAAAACTTGATAATGGTCTAGGACTTGATAATGGTCCAGAATTTGATAGTAGTCCAAGACTTGATAATGGTCCAAGGCTTGATAATGGTCTGTGATTGATAGTGGACCACCATATGATAGTGGTCCATGAATTGATAATGGTGTAGGACTTGACAGTGGTCCAGGAATTAATAATGGTCCTGGACTTGATAGTGGTCCAGAGCTTGATAATGGTCCTGGACTTGAGAATGGGTCCTGGACTTGATAGTGGTCCAGTACATGACAGTGGTCCAGGACTTGATAATGGCCCAGGACTTGATAGTGGTCAAGGACTTGACAGTAGTGTAGGATTTGATAATAGTCTAGGACTTGATTATAGTCCAGGACTTAATAATGGTCTAGGACTTAACAGTGGTCCATGACTTGATAGTGGTCCTGGACATGATAATGGTCCAGGACTTGATAGTAGTCCAAGACTTGATTATGGTCCAGGATTTGATAATGGTGTAGGACTTGATGATAGTCAAGGACTTGATAATGGTCCAGGACTTGATAGTGGTCCAGGACTTGATAATGGTCCTGGACTTGTAAGTTTTCCAGGACTTGACAGTGGTCCAGGACATGATAGTGGTCCAGGACTTGTTATTGGTCAAGAACTTGATAATGGTCTAGGACTTGATAATGATTTTGGATTTGATAGTGGTTCAGGACTTGACTGTGGTCCAGGACTTGATAATGGCTCAGTACTTGATAGTAGTCCAGAACTTGACAGTGGTCAAGGACTTGAGAATGGCCTAAGACTTGACAATGGTCCAGGACTTTTTAATGGCTCAATACTTGATAGTGAACCAGGACTTGACTTTGATCAAGGACTTGATAACGGACTAGGAATTGATAATGGTACATGACTTGTTAATGGTCCAGTACTTGATAATGGTCCTGGACTTGATAGTGGTCCAGGACTTGACAGTGGTCCAGAACTTGATAATGGCTCACGACCTGAAAGTGGTCCAGGACTTGATATAGTCCAGGTCTTGACAGCGGGCCAGGACTTGATAATAGATCAGGAATTGAAGGTGGTCCAGGACTTGATAATGGCCCAGGAGTTAATATTTGTCCAGAATTCGATAATGGTAGAGAACCTGACAGTGGTCTAGGACTTGACATTGGTCCAGGACTTTATAATGGCCCACGACTTGATAGTGGTCCATGTTTTGATAATGGTCCAGGATTTCACAATGGTCCAGGACTTTATAATGACCCACGATTTGATAGTGGTTCAAGACTTGACAATAGTCCAGGACTTGAAAATGGTTTAGAACTTGATAGTGGCCCAGGACATGATTATGGTCCAGGACTTGGCAGTTGTCCAGGACTTGACTGTGGACGAGGACTTGATAATGGCCCAGGACTTGACAGTGATCCTAGAATTGACAGTGGCCCAGGACATGATAATGGTCCAGGACGTGACAGTGGTACAGGACTTGAGAATGGTTCAAGAATTGACAGTGGTCCAGGAGTTGATAATGGTCCAGGACTTGATTATGACGCAGGACTTGATAATGGTTCAGGACATGATATACGTCTAGGACTTGATAATGGTCCTGGACGTGACAGTGGTCCAGGACTTGATAATGGTCTAGGATTTGATAATGGCCCAGAATTTGATAATAGTCCAAGACTTGATAATGGTAAAAGGCTTGATAATGGTCTGTGATTGATAGTGGACCAGCATATGATTGTGGTCCAGGACATGATAATGGTCCAGGACTAGATAATAATTCAGGAATTGATAATGGTCCAGGACTTGACAGTGGTCCAGGAATTGATAATGGTCCTGGACTAGATAGTGGTCCAGAACTTGACAGTGGTCCTGGATTTGATATTGGTCCAGAGCTTGATAATGGTCCAGGACTTAAGAATGGGTCCTGGACTTGATAGTGGTCCAGAACATGACAGTGGTCCAGGACTTGATAATGGCCTAGGACTTGATAGTGGTCCAGGACTTGACAGTAACGTAGGATTTGATAATAGTCTAGGACTTGATTTTGGTCCAGGACTTGATAATGGTCTAGGACTTAACAGTGGTCCATGACTTAATAGTGGTCCAGGACATGATAATGGTCCAGGACTTGATAGTGGTCCAATACTTGATTATGGTCCATGACTTGATAATGGTCTAGGACTTGATGATAGTCAAGGATTTGATAATGGTTCAGGACTTGATAGTGGTCCAGGACTTGATAATGGTTCTGGACTTGTAGGTGGTCCAGGACTTGACAGTGGTCCAGGACATGATAGTGGTCCAGGACTTGTTAATGGTCAAGGACTTGATAATGGTCTAGGACTTGATAATGATTTTGGATTTGATAGTGGTTCAGGACTTGACTTTGGTCCAGGACTTGATAATGGCTCAGTACTTGATAGTAGTCCAGAACTGGACAGTGGTCAAGGACTTGAGAATGGCCCAGGACTTGATAATGGTACAGGACTTGATAATGGTCTAATACTTGATAATGGTCTGGGACTTTATAATGGTTCAGGGATTGATAATGGTCCAGAACTTGACAGTAGACCAGGACTTAATAGTGTTTCAGGAATTGATAATGGCCCAGGACTTCATAATGGCCCAGGACTTGATAATTGTCCAGGACTTGACATTGGTCAAGGAATTGATAATGGTCCTGGACTTGATAGTGGTCCAGGACTTGACAGTGGTCCTGGACTTGATAAAGGTCTTGGACTTGAAAGTGGTCCTGGACATGAAATTGATCCAGGACTTGATAATGGTCCTGGACTTGATAGTGGTCCAGTACTTGACAGGAGCCAGGACTTAATAATGGCCCAGGACTTGATAGTGGTCCAGGACTTGACAGTTGTGTAGGACTTTATAATGGTCCAGAACTTGATAATGGTCCAAGACTTGACAGTGGTCCATGTTACAGCCCTATTGGGTCGCAACTGGGTTCTTCTCTGATGTTATTAGAGTTTGGGTATCCGGCCCCAAGTTAGTAATGGCTTTCAAGGGGTGTGTTCCGTAACGCAAGTAAATTAAAGGGGAAGGGATACCAATGCACTGCTTTATAAATATATTTCTACCACCACCATAAATATATCTCTCACAGTCACACGCGGGGGCTATAACTACACTTATGTTCAATAACTTGTCTTCCTCCGAAGACTCAGGATGCTCCACGGTGCTCACGAGTAGCTCTGGTTCTCTTCTTTGTGGCCAACGATGTATCCTCTGATTCTCTCGGCGAATCTACCCTGGCCACAGGCCAGCCAAATCACAGTCCCACTGGGTGCACCGTCGTGGAGGCATTCAACCTCAAATCCAGCCTGTAGCTGGCAGGTTCCGATCAGCTCCGCTGTGTAGGCCACTCCACGACCGATACTAGGGTTGCGAGCCCTAGGCAGGAGCCTCGTATGATCCCGCTGATCACCCTCCTCTCTATAGCACCACAGTGGCTAGTCTCCTCCATCAGCCAGCCCCGGATGCAACGATTCCTCAACTCTGCCACGTCACAGACAGGCTAAAACTCTCAACAGTGTTCGTCCGGGGGTGACTCACAGCTTCCTCAGAGCAAACTCGTGGAGAGACTATGGCTGCCTTTGGTAGACTGCCCCATCGTCGAATACAGCAGTCCCAGGTCGACTCTGTAATCAGACACGTCTTTAGTACTAGGGACACTCTAGAGCGCCTCACTTACAGGTTTAGACACAAACGTCCACCTATCCACTCCATAGACAGCGTGGCTGTCTAAGCGCCACCTCACCAAAGATCAGCAGCGTCTATGTCACGAGCTGATTAAGAAAGGAATCCAGCCCCTGTGGCCGGGATAACCCGTCCTCACTAGATGGCGTCGTCCATTTGGAAGGGGTTTCGGGAGCAGACTCACAGATGGCGATGTCGTCACTGCTCCGTGCTCGGACGCTGGGCTCGGGTCCGTAACAGTCCATGACTTGATAGTGGTGCAGGGCATGATAATGGTACAGGACTTGATAATGGTCCTGGACGTGATAGGGGTCCATGACTTGATTGTAGTAAAGGACTTGATAATGGCCCACGACTTGATAGTGGTCGAGGACTTGATAATGGTCCAGGTCTTGACAGCAGTCCAGGACCTGACAGTGGTCCAGGACTTGATAATGGTTCAGGAATTGACAGTGGTGCAGGACTAGATAATAGCCCAGGAGGTAATATTGGTCCAGGACTTGATAATAGTAGAGGACTTGATAGTGGTCTAGGACTTAACAGTGGTCCAGGACTTGATAATGACCCACGACTTGATAGTGGTCATGGACTTGATAATGGTCCAGGATTTGACACTGGTCCAGGACTTGATAGTGGTCCAGGACTTTATAATGGCCCACGACTTGATAGTGGTCCAGGACTTGATAATGGACTAGGATTTGACAGTGGTCCAGGACTTGATAGTGGTCCAGGACTTTATAATGGCCCACGACTTGATAGTGGTTTAGGACTTGAAAGTGGTCCAGGACTTGATAATGGTATAGTATTTGATAGTGGTCCAGGACTTGATAATGGTCCAGGATTTAACAGTGGTACAGGACTTGATAAAGGTTCAGGAATTGACAGTGGTCCAGGAGTTGATAATGGTCCAGGACTTGATAATGTCGCAGGACTTGATAATGGTTCAGGACTTGATAGAGGTCCAGAACTTGACAGTTGTCCAGGACTTGATAATGGTCTATAACTTAATAACGGTCCAGGATTTGATAATAGTCCAGGACTTGATAATCGTCCAGGGCTTAATAATGGTCCTGGACTTGATTTTGGACCAGGATATGATAGTGGTCCAGGACATGATAATGGTCCAGGACTTGATAATGGTTCAGGACTTGATAGTGGTCCAGGACTTAATAATGGTCCAGGACTTGACAGTGTTCCAGGAATTGATAATAGTCCTGGACTTGATAATGGTCCAGGACTTGATAGTGGTCCAGGGCTTGATAATGGTCTAGGACTTGATAGTGGTCCAGGTCTTGATAATAATCCAAGACTTGATAATGGTTCAGGACTTGATAGAGGTCCAGGACTTGATAATGGTGCAGGATTTGACAGTGGTTCAGGACTTGATAATGGTCTAGGACTTGATAATGGTCCAGGATTTGATAATAGTCCAGGACTTGATAATGGTCCAGGGCTTGATAATGGTCCTGGACTTGATGGTGGACCAGGAAATTATAGTGGTCCAGGACATGATAATGGTCCAGGACTTGATAATGGTTCAGCACTTGATAGTGGTCCAGGACTTGACAGTGATGTAGGACTTGATAATGGTCCAGGACCTGATAATGGTCCAGGACATGACAGTGGTCCAGGACTTGATAGTGGTCCAGGACATGATAATGGTCCAGGACTTGATGGCGGTCCAGGACTTGATAATGGTCCAGGACTTGATAATGGTCTAGGACTTGACAGTGGTCCAGGACTTGATAGTGGTCCAGGTCATGTTAATGGTCCAGGACTTGATAGTGGTCCAGGACTTGATAATGGTCCAGGACTTGATAATGTTCTAGGACTTGTTAGTGGTCCAAGACTTGATAAAGGTCCAGGACTAGATAGTGATTCTGGACTAGACAATTGTCCAGGACATGATAGTGGTCCAGGACTTGATAATGGACAAGGACTTGATAATAGTCCAGGACTTGATTATGGTCTTGAATTTGATAGGGGTCCAGGACTTGACAGTGGTCAAGGACTTTATAATGGCCCACGAGTTGATAGTGGTCCAGGACTTGACAGTTGTTCAGGACTTGAAAATAGTACAGTACATGATAGTGGGCCAGGACTTGATAATGGCTCAGGACTTTACAGTGGTACAGGACTTGACTGTGGTCGATAAATTGATAATGGCCCGGGACTAGACAGTGGTCTTGGACATGATAATGGTTCAAGAAGAGAGTGGTCCAGGACTCAATAATGGCCCAGGAAATAATACTGGTTCAGGACTTAATAATGGTAGAGGACTTGACAGTGGTCCAGGACTTTATAATGGCCCACGACTTGATAGTGGTCCAGGACTTGACAGTGTTCCAGGACTTGATAATGGTCCAGTACTTGATAGTGGTCCAGGACTTGATAATGGTCCAGGACTTGACAGTGGTACAGGACTTGAGAATGGTTTAGGAATTGACAGAGGTCCAGGTGTTGATAATGGTCCAGGACTTGATAATGACGCAGGAATTGATAATGGTTCAGGACTTGATATAGGTCCAAGACTTGATAATGGTCCAGGACTTGACAGTGGTCCAGGACTTGATAATGGCCAAGGACTTGATAATGGTCCAGGATTTGATAATAGTCCAGGATTTGATAATGGTCCAGGGTTTGATAATGGTCCTGGACTTAATAGTGGACCAGGATATGATAGTGGTCCTGGACATGATAAAGGTCCGGGACTTGAAAGTGGTCCAGGTCTTAATAATGGTCCAGGACTTGATAATGGTCCTGGACATGATAGTGGTCCAGTACTTGACAGTGGTGCAGGACTTGATAATGGTAGAGGACTTGACAGTGGTTTAGGACTTGACAGTGGTCCAGGACTTGATAATGACCCAAGACTTGATAGTGGTCCAGGACTTGATAATGGTCCAGGATTTGACAGTGGTCTAGGACTTGACAGCGCTCCAGGACTTTATAATGGCCCACGACTTGATAGTGGTCCAGGACTTGACAGTGGTCCAGGACTTGATAATAGTCCAGTACTTGATAGTGGTCCAGGAGTTGATAATGGTCCAGGAATTGATAATGACGCAGGACTTGATATTGGTTCAGGATTTGATATAGGTCCAAGACTAGATAATGGTCCAGGACTTGACAGTGGTCCAGGACTAGAAAATGGTCTAGAACTTGATAATGGTCCAGGATTTGATAATAGTCCAGGATTTGATAATGATCCATGGCTTGATAATGGTCCTGGACTTGACAGTGGACCAGGATATGATAGTGGTCCAGGACATGCTAATGGTCCAGGACTTGATAATAGTTCAGGACTTGATAGTGGTCCAGGACATGATAATGGTCCAAGACTTGATAGTGGTACAGGACTTGATAATGGTCCAGGACTTGATAGCGATCCTGGACTTGACAGTTGTCCAGGACATGATAGAACTCCAGGACTTGATAATGGTCAAGGACTTGATAATAGTCCAGGACTTGATAATGGTCTTGGATTTGATAGTGGTCCAGGACTTGACAGTGTTCCAGGACTTGATAACGGCTCAGTACTTGATAGTGGTCCAGGACTTGACAGTGGTCTAGGACTTGATTATGGCCCAGGACTTGATAATGGTACAGGACTTGATATAATACAGGACTTGATAGTATCCAGTACTTGATAATGGTCCTGGACTTGATAGTGGTCCAGGACTTGACAGTGATAAAGGACTTGATAATGGCCCACGACTTGACAGTGGTCCAGGATTTGATAATGGTCCAGGTCTTGACAGAGGTCCAGGATCTGACAGTGGTCCAGGACTTTATAATGGCCCACTACTTGATATGGGTCCAGGATTTGACAGTAGTCCAGGAAATGAAAATGGTACAGTACATGATAGTGGTCCTGGACTTTATAATGGTCCAGGACTTGACAGTGGTCCAAGACTTGACAGTGGTCGAGGAATTGATAATGGCCCAGAACTTGACAGTGGTCCAGGTCTTGATAATGGTTCAGGAATAGACAGTGGTCCAGGACTTTATAATGGCCCACGACTTGATAGTGGTCCAGGACTTGACAGTGGTCCAGGACTTGATACTGGTCCAATACTTGATAGTGGTCCAGGACTTGATTATGGTTTAGGACTTGACAGTGGTACAGGACTTGAGAATGGGTCAGGAATTGACAGTGGTCCAGGAGTTGATAATGGTCCAAGACTTGATAATGACGCAGGACTTGATATTGGTTCAGGATTTGATATAGGTCCATGACTTGATAATGGTCCAGAACTTGACAGTGGTCCTGGACTTGAAAATGGTCTAGGACTTGATAATGGTCCAGGATTTGATAATAGTCTAGGATTTGATAATGGTCCAGTACTTGACAGTGGTCCAGGACTTCATAATGGTCCAGGACTTGATAATAGTGCAGGACTTGATAGTATTCTAGGACTTGATAATGGTCCAGGACTTGATTGTGGTCCAGGACTTGATAATGGTTCTTTATTTGATAGTGATCCTGGACTTGACAGTTGTCCAGGACATTATAGAGTTCCAGGAATTGATAATGGTCAACGACTTGATAATGGTCCAGGACTTGATAATGGTCTTGGATTTGATAGTGGTCCTGGACTTGACAGTGGTACAGGACTTGAGAATGGTTTTAGGAATTGACAGTGGTCCAGGAGTTGATAATGACGCATGACTTGATATTGGTTCAGGATTTGATAATGGTCCTGGACTTGATATTGGACCAGAATATGATAGTGGTCCAGGACTTGATAAAGGTCCAGGACTTGATAATAGTTCAGGACTTGATAGTGGTCCAGGACTTGATAATGGTCCAGGACTTGAAAGTTGTCTAGGACCTGACAGTGGTCCTGGACTTGATAATGGTCTTGGACATGATAGTGGTTCAGTACTTGACAGTGGTCCAGGACATTATAATATCCCACGAATTGATAGGGGTCCAGGACTTGACAGTGGTCCAGGACTTGAAAATGGTACAGTACATGATAGTATCCTGCACTTGATAATGGTCCAGGACTTGACAGTCGTCCAGGACTTGACAGTGGTCGAGGAATTGATAATTTTTCAGAACTTGACAGTGGTCCAGGTCTTGATAATGGTTCAGGAAGAGACAGTGTTCCAGGACTTGTTAATGGTCCAGGACTTGATAATGGTATAGGACTTGACTGTGGTCCAGGAATTGATAATGGTCCTGGACTTGATAGAGGTCCAGGACTAGACAGTGGTCCTGGACTTGATAAGGGTACAGGACTTGATAGTAGTCCAGGACTTGATAATGATCCAGTACTTGATAATGGTCCTCTACTTGATAGTGGTCCAGTATTTGACAGTGAACCAGGACTTGATAATGACCTAGGACTTGATAGTGGTCCAGACCTTGACAGTGGTTTAGGACATGAAAATGGTCCAAGACTTGATAAAGGTCCAGGACTTGATATTGGTCCAGGACTTGACAGTGGTCCAGGACTTGATAGTGGTGCAGGACATGATAATGGTCCAGGACTTGATAATGGTTAAGGACTTGATAATAGTTCAGGACTTGATACTAGTCTAGGAATTGATACTGGATCAGGACTTGATAGTGATCCTGGACTTGATAGTTATTCAGGACATGATAGTGTTCCAGGACTTGATAATGGTCAAGGACTTGATAATAATCCAGGACATGATAATTGTCTTGGATTTGATAGTGGACCAGGTTTGACAGTGGTCCAGGACTTGATAATGGCTCGGTACTTGATAGTGGTCCAGGACTTGACAGTGGTCAAGGACTTGATAATTGCCCAGGACTTGATAATGGTACAGGACTTGTTAATGGTCCAGTACTTGATAATGGTCCTGGACTTGATAGTGCTCCAGGACTTGATAAATGTCCAGGACTTGATAGTGGTCCAAGATTTGATAATGGTCCAGGAATTGAAAATGGTCGAGGAATTGATAATGGCCCAGAACTTGACAGTGGTACAGGTCTTGATAATGGTTCAGGAATATACAGTGGTCCAGGACTATATAATGGCCCAGGAGTTAATATTGGTCCAGGACTTGACAATGGTAGAGATTATGACAGTGGTCCAGGACTTGATAATGGCCCAGGAGTCATTATTGGTCCAGGACTTGATATTGGTAGAGGACTTGACAGTGGTCTAGGACTTGACAGCGGTCCAGGACTTGATAATGGCCCACGACTTGATAGTGGTCCAGGACTTGATAATGGTCCAGGATTTGACAGTGGGCCAGGACTTGACAGTGGTCCAGGACTATATAATGGCCCACGACTTGATAGTGATCCAGGACTTGACAGTGGACCAGGACTTGATAATGGCCCAGGACTTGATAGTGGTCCAGGACTTTACAGTGGTGTAGGATTAGATATTGGTCCAGGACTTGATTATGGTTCAGGACTTGATAATAGTGCAGGACTTGACAGTGGTTCATGACTTGATAGTGGTCCAAGACATGATAATAGTCCAGGACTTCATAATGGCCCAGGACTTGACAGTGGTCCAGGAATTTATAATGGTCCTGGACTTGATAGTGGTCCAGGACTTGACAGTGGTCCAGGACTTGATAATGGTCCAGGACTTGATAGTTTTCCTGGATTTGATAATGGTCTAGGACTTGGTAATGGTCCAGGACTTGATAATGGTAAACTACTTGATCATAGTCCAGGACTTGATAGTGGTCCAGGACTTGATAATGGTCCAAGACTTGATAGTGATCCTGGACTTGACAGTTGTCCAGGACATGATAGTGTTCCAGGACTTGATAATGGTCAAGGACTTGATGATGGTCCAGGACTTGATAATGGTCTTGGATTTGATAGTGGTCCAGGGCTTGACAGTGGTCCAGGACTTGATAATGGCTCAGTACTTGATAGAGATCCAGGACTTGACAGTGGTCAAGGACTTGATAATTGACCAGGACTTGATAATGGTACTGGACTTGATATTGATCCAGTACTTGATAATGGTCCTGGACTTGATAGTGGTCCAGGCCTTGACAGTGGGAAAGGACTTGATAAGGGCCCACGACTTGATAGTGGTCCAGGACTAAATAATGATCCAGGTCTTGACTGCGGTCCAGAACCTGACAGTGGTCCAGGACTTTATAATGGCCCACGACTTGATAGGGGTCCAGGACTTGACAGTGGTCCAGGACTTGAAAATGGTACAGTACATGATAGTGTTCCTGGACTTGATAATGGTCCAGGACTTGACAGTGGTCCGGGACTTGACAGTGATCGAGGAATTGATAATGGCCCAGAAATTGACAGTGGTCCAGGTCTTGATAATGGTTCAGGAATAGACAGTGGTCCAAGACTTTATAATGGCCCAGGAGTTAATATTGGTCCAGGTCTTCATAATGGTTGAAAACATGACAGTGGTCCAGAACTTAATAATGGTTCAGGAATTGACAGTGGTGCAGGACTTTATAATGGCCCAGGAGTTAATATTGGTCCAGGACTTTTTAATGGTAGAGGACTTGACAGTGGTCTAGGACTTGAGAGTGGTCCAGGACTTGATTATGGCCCACGACTTGATAGTGGTCCAGGACTTGATATTGGTCCAGGATTTGCCAGTGATCCAGGACTTGACAGTGGTCCAGGACTTTATAATGGCCCACGACTTGATAGTGGTCTTGGACTTGACAGTGTTCTAGGACTTGATAATGGTCTAGTACTTGATAGTGGTCCAGGACTTGATAATGGTCCAGGACTTGACAGTGGTACAGGACTTGAGAATAGTTCAGGAATTGACAGTGGCCCATTAGTTGATAATGCTCCAGGATTTGATGATGACGCAGGAATTGATAATGGGTCAGGACTTGATATTGGTCCAAGACTTGATAATGGTCCAAGACTTGACAATGGTCCAGGACTTGATTATGGACTAGGACTTGATAATGGTCCAGAATTTTATAATAATCCAGGATATGATAATGGTCCAGAGGTTGAGAATGGTCCTGGACTTGATAGTGGACCAAGATATGATAGTGGTCCAGTATATGATAATGGTCCAGGACTTGTTAATAGTTCAGGACTTGATTGTTATCCAGCACTTGATAATGGTCCAGAACTTGATAATGGTCCAGAACTTGATAGTAGTCCAGGTCTTGATAATGGTCCAGTACTTGATAATGGTCCTGGACATGATAGTGGTCCAGTGCTTGACAGTGGTCCAGGACTTGATAATGGCTCAGGACTTGATAGTGGTCCAGGACTTAACAGTTGTGTAAGATTTGATATTGGTCAAGGAATTGATTATGGTTCAGGACTAGATAATAGTCCAGGACTTGACAGTGGTTCATGACTTGATAGTGGTCCAGGACTTGATAATGGTCCAGGACTTGATAATGGTCCAGGACTTGACAGTGGTCCAGGAATTGATAATGGTCCTTGACTTGATAGTGGTCCAGGACTTGATAATGGTCCAGGACTTGATAATGGTCAAGGACCTGATAGTGGTCCAGGTCTTAATATTGGTCCAGGACTTAATAATGGTTCAGGACTTGATAGAAGTCTAGGACTTGATAATGGTGCAGGACTTGACAGTGATCCAGGACTTCATAATGGTCAAGGACTTGATAATGGTCCAATATTTGATATTAGTCCAGGACATGATAATGGTCCAAGGCTTGATAATGGTCCTGGACTTGATAGTGGACCATTACATCATAGTGGTCCAGGACATGATAATGTTCCAAGACTAATAATAGTTCAGGACTTGATAGTGGTCCAGGACTTGACAGTGGTGTAGGACTTGATAATGGCCCAAGACTTGATAATGGTCCAGGATATGGTAATGGTCCAGGACTTGACAGAGGTCCAGGACTTGATATTGGTTCAGGACATAATAATTGTCCAGGACTTGATAGTGGTCCAGGACTTGATAATGGTCCAGGACTTGATAATGGTCAAGGACTTGATAGTGGTCCAAGACTTGATAATGGTCCAGGACTTGATAGTGATTCTGGACTTGACAATTGTCTAGGACATGATAGTGGTCCTGGACTTGATAACAGTCAAGGACTTGATAATGGTCCAGGACTTGATAATGGTCTTGGATTTGGTAGTGGTCGAGGACCTGACAGTAGTGCAGGACTTGATAATATCTCAGTACTTGATAGTGGTCCAGGACTTGACAGTGGTCAAGGACTTGATTTTGGCCCAAGACTTGATAATGGTACAGGACTTGATAATAGTCCAGTACTTGATAATGTCCCTGGACTTGATAGTGGTTCAGGAATTGACAGCGGTCAAGGACTTGACAGTGGTCCAGGACTTGACAGTGGTCCAGGACTTTATAATGGCCCACGACTTGATAGTGGTCCAGGACTTGACATTGGTCCAGTACTTGAAAATAGTACAGTACATGATAGGGGTCCAGGACTTGATAATGGTCCAGGACTTGAAAATGGTCGAGGAATTGACAATAACCCAGAACTTGACAGTGGTTCAGGTCTTGATAATGGTTCAAGAATAGACAGTGGTCCAGGACTCTATAATGGCCCAGGAGTTAATATTGGTCCAGGACTTGATAATGGTAGAGAATATGACAGTGGTCCAGGACTTGATAATGGCCCAGAAGTTATTATTGGTCCAGGACTTGATATTGGTAGAGGACTTGACAGTGGTCTAGGACTTGACAGTGGTCCAGGACTTGATAATGGCCCACGACTTGATAGTGGTCCAGGACTTGATAATGGTCCAGGATTTGACAGTGGGCCAGGACTTGACAGTGGTCCAGGACTTTATAATGGCCCACGACTTGATAGTGGTCCAGGACTTGACAGTGTTCCAGGACTTGATAATGGTCCAGTACTTGATAGTGGTCCAGGACTTGATTATGGTCCATGACTTGACAGTGGTACAGATCTTGAGAATGGTTCAGGAACAGACAGTGGTCCAGGAGTTGATAATGGTCCAGGACCTAATAATGACGCAGGACTTGATAATGGTTCAGGACTTGATATAGGTCCAAGACTTGATAATGGTCCAGGACTTGACAGTGGTCCAGGAGCTAATAATGGACAAGGAATTGATAATGGTCCAGGATATGATAATTGTCCAGTATTTGATATTGGTCCAGGGCTTGATAATGGTCGTGGACTTGATAGTGGACCAGGATATGATAGTGATCCAGGACATGATAGTGGTCCAGGACTTGATAATAGTTCAGGAATTGATAGTGGTCCAGGACTTGATAATGGTCCAAGACTTGATAGTGGTCCAGGACTTGACAGTGGTCCTGGACTTCATAAAAGTCCACGACTTGATAGTGGTCCAGGTCTTGATAATGGTTCAGGACTTGATAATGGTCCTGGACATGATAGTGGTCCAGTACTTGACAGTGGTCCTGGACTTGATAATGGCCCAGGACTTAATAGTGGTCCAGGAATTGACAGTGGTGTAGGATTTGATATTGGTCCAGGACTTTATTATGGTTTAGGAATTGATAATAGTCCAGGACTTGTCAGTGGTTCATGATTTGATAGTGGTCTAGGACATGATAATGGTGTAGGACTAGACAGTGTTCCAAGAATTGATAATGGTCCTTGACTTGATAGTAGTCCAGGACTTGACAGTGGTCCTGGACTTGATAAAGGTCCAGGACTTGATAGTGGTCCAGGTCTTGATAATGGTCTAGGACTATATAACGGTTCAGGACTTGATAGAGGTCCAGGACTTGATAATGGTCTAGGACTTGATAATGGTCCAGGATATGATAATAGTCCAGGACTTGATAATGGTCCAGGGTTTGATAATGGTCCATTGAAACTTGATAGTAGACCAGGACATGATAGTGGTTCAGGACATGATAATGGTCCAGGACTTAATAATGGTTCAGGACTTGATAGTGGTCCAGGTCTTGACAGCGGTCCAGGACCAGACAGTGGTCCAGGACTTAATAGTGGCCCACGACTTGATAGGGGTCCAGGATTTGACAGTGGTCCAGGACTTGATAATGGTCCAGTACTTGATAGTTGTCCAATACTTCATAATGCTCCAGAACTTGACAGTGGTGCAGGACTTGAGAATGGTTCAGGAATTGACAGTGGTCCAGGAGTTGATAATGGTCCTGGACTTAATAATGACGCAGGACTTGATATTGGTCCAAGACTTGATAATGGTCCAGGTCTTGACAGTTGTCTAGGACTTTATAATGGTCTAGGACTTGATAATGGTCCAGGATTTAATAATAGTCAAGGATTTGATAATGATCCAGAGCTTGATAATGGTCCTGGACTTGATAGTGGACCAAGATATGATAGTGGTCCAGGACATGATAATGGTCCAAGACTTGATAATAGTTCAGGACTTGATAGTGGTCCAGGACTTGATAATGGTCTAGGACTTGATAGTGGTCCAGGACTTGACAGTGGTCCTGGACTTGATAAAGGTCCAGGATTTGATAGTGGTCCAGGTCTTGATAATGGTCCAGGACTTGATAATGGTCCTGGACATGATTGTGGTCCAGTACTTGACAGTGGACCAGGATTTGATAATGACCCAGGGCTTGATAGTGGTCCAGGACTTGACAGTGGTGTAGGATTTGATATTGGTCCAGGACTTGATTATGGTTCAGGACTTGATAATAGTGCAGGACTTGACAGTGGTTCATGACTTGATAGTGGTCCAGGACATGATAATAGTCCAGGACTTGATAGTGGTCCCGGACATGATAATGGTCCAGGACTTGATAATAGCCCAGGACTTGACAGTGGTCCAGGAATTTATAATGGTCCTGGACTTGATAGTGGTCCAGGACTAGATAATGGTCCAGGATTTGATAATGGTTTAGGACTTGATAATTGTCCAGGACTTGACTGTGGTCCAGGACATGATAATGGTCCAGGACTTGATAGTTTTCCAGGATTTGATAATGGTCCAGGCCTTGGTAATAGTCCAGGACTTGATAATGGTTAAGGACTTGATCATAGTCCATTACTCGATAGTGGTCCAGGACTTGATAATGGTCCAAGACTTGATAGTGATCCCTGACTTGACAGTTGTTCAGGACATGATAGTGTTCCAGGACTTGATAATGGTCAAGGACTTGATAATGGTCCAGGACTTGATAATGGTTTTGGGTTTGATAGTGGTCCAGGACTTGACAGTGGTCCAGGACCTGATAATGGCTCAGTACTTGATAGAGGTCCAGGACTTGACAGTGGTCAAGGAATTGATAATTGACCAGGACTTGATAATGGTACTGGACTTGATAATGATCTAGTACTTGATAATGATCTAGTACTTGATAGTGGTCCAGGACTTGATAATGGTCCAGGTCTTGACCGCGGTACAGGACCTGACAGTGGTCCAGGACTTTATAATGGCCCACGACTTGATAGGGGTCCAGAATTTGACAGTGGTCCAGGACTTGAAAATGGTACAGTACATGATAGTGGTCCGGACTTGATAAAGATCCAGGACTTGACAGTGGTCAGAGACTTGACAGTGATCGAGGAATTGATAATGGCCCAGAAATTGACAGTGGTCCAGGTCTTGATAATGGTTCAGGAATAGACAGTGGTCCAAGACTTTATAATGGCCCAGGAGTTAATATTGGTCCAGGACTTGATAATGGTAGAGAACATGACAGTGGTCCAGAACTTGATAGTGGTTCAGGAATAGACAGTGGTCCAAGACTTTATAATGGTCCAGGACTTGATAATGGTTCAGGACTTGATAATGGTCAAGGACCTGATAGTGGTCCAGGTCTTAATAATACTCCAGGACTTGATAATGGTTCAGGACTTGATAGAAGTCTAGGACTTGATAATGGTGCAGGACTTGACAGTGATCCAGCACTTGATAATGGTCGAGGACTAGATAATGGTCCAGGATTTGATATTAGTCCTGCACATGATAATGGTCCAAGGCTTGATAATGGTCCTGGACTTGATAGTGGACCATTACATCATAGTGGTCCAGGACATGATAATGGTCCAGGACTAATAATGGTTCAGGACTTGATAGTGGTCCAGGACTTGACAGTGGTTTAGGACTTGATAATGGTCCAGGACTTGATAATGGTCCAGGACATGATAATGGTCCAGGACTTGACAGAGGTCCAGGACTTGATAGTGGTCCAGGACATAATAATAGTCAAGGACTTGATAGTGGTCCAGGACTTGATAATGGTCCAGGACTTGATAGTGATTCTGGACTTGACAAATGTCTAGGACATGATAGTGGTCCAGGACTTGATAACAGGCAAGGACTTGATAATGGTCCAGGACTTGATAATGGTCTTGAATTTGGTAGTGGTCGAGGACCTGACAGTGGTGCAGGACTTGATAATGTCTCAGTACTTGATAGTGGTCCAGGACTTGACAGTGGTCAAGGACTTGATAATGGCCCAAGACTTGATAATGGTACAGGACTTGATAATGGTCCAGTACTTGATAATGTCCCTGGACTTGATAGTAGTTCAGGAATTGACAGCGGTCCAGGACTTGACAGTGGTCCAGGACTTTATAATGGCCCACGACATGATAGTGGTCCAGGACTTGACATTGGTCCAGTACTTGAAAATAGTACAGTACATGATAGGGGTCCAGGACTTGATAATGGTCCAGGACTTGAAAATGGTCGAGGAATTGATAATGGCCCAGAACTTGACAGTGGTCCAGGTCTTGATAGTGGTTCAGGAATAGACAATGGTCCAGGACTCTATAATGGCCCAGGAGTTAATATTGGTCCAGGACTTGATAATGGTAGAGAATATGACAGTGGTCCAGGACTTGATAATGGCCCAGGAGTTATTATTGGTCCAGGACTTGATATTGGTAGAGGACTTGACAGTGGTCTAGGACTTGACAGTGGTCCAGGACTTGATAATGACCCACGACTTGATAGTGGTCCAGGACTTGATAATGGTCCAGGATTTGACAGTGGGCCAGGACTTGACAGTGGTCCAGGACTTTATAATGGCCCACGACTTGATAGTGGTCCAGGACTTGACAGTGTTCTAGGACTTGATAATGGTCCAGTACTTGATAGTGGTCCAGGACTTGATTATGGTCCATGACTTGACAGTGGTACAGATCTTGAGAATGGTTCAGGAATTGACAGTGGTCCTGGAGTTGATAATGGTCCAGGACCTAATAATGACGCAGGACTTGCTAATGGTTCAAGACTTGATATAGGTCCAAGACTTGATAATGGTCCAGGACTTGACAGTGGTCCAGGACTTGATAATGAACAAGGACTTGATAATGGTCCAGGATATGATAATTGTCCAGGATTTGATAATGGTCCAGGGCTTGATAATGGTCCTGGACTTGATAGTGGACCAGGATATGATAGTGGTCCAGGACATGATAGTGGTCCAGGACTTGATAATAGTTCAGGACTTGATAGTGGTCCAGGACTTGATAATGGTCCAAGACTTGATAGTGGTCCAGGACTTGACAGTGGTCCTGGATTTGATAAAAGTCCACGACTTGATAGTGGTCCAGGTCTTGATAATGGTTCAGGACTTGATAATGGTCCTGGACATGATAGTGGTCTAGTTCTTGACAGTGGTCCAGGACTTGATAATGGCCCACGACTTGATAGTGGTCCAGGAATTGACAGTGATGTAGGATTTGATATTGGTCCAGGACATGATTATGGTTTAGGACTTGATAATAGTCCAGGACTTGTCAGTGGTTCATGATTTGATAGTGGTCTAGGACATGATAATGGTCCAGGACTTGACAGTGTTCCATTAATTGATAATGGTCCTGGACTTGATAGTAGTCCAGGACTTGACAGTGGTCCTGGACTTGATAAAGGTCCAGGACTTGATAGTTGTCCAGGTCTTGATAATGGTCCAGGAATATATAACGGTTCAGGACTTGATAGAGGTCCAGGACTTGATAATGGTCCTGGACTTGATAGTAGACCAGGACATGATAGTGGTCCAGGACATGATAATGGTCCAGGACTTACTAATGGTTCAGGACTTGATAGTGGTCCAGGTCTTGACAGCGGTCCAGGACCAGACAGTGGTCCAGGACTTTATAGTGGCCCACGACTTGATAGGGGTCCAGGATTTGACAGTGGTCCAGGACTTGATGATGGTCCAGTACTTGATAGTTGTCCAATACTTCATAATGGTCCAGAACTTGACAGTGATGCAGGACTTGAGAATGGTTCAGGAATTGACAGTGGTCCAGGAGTTGATAATGGTCCTGGACTTGATAATGACGCAGGACTTGATATAGGTCCAAGACTTGATAATGGTCTAGGACTTGACAGTGGTCCAGGACTTGATAATGGTCTAGGACTTGATAATGGTCAAGGATTTGATAATAGTCAAGGATTTGATAATGGTCCAGGGCTTGATAATGGTCCTGGACTTGATAGTAGACCAAGATATGATAGTGGTCCAGGACATGATAATGGTCCAAGACTTGATAATAGTTCAGGACTTGATAGTGGTCCAGGACTTGATAATGGTCTAGGACTTGATAGTGGTCCAGGATTTGACAATGATCCTGGACTTAATAAAGGTCCAGGATTTGATAGTGGTTCTGGTCTTGATAATGGTCCAGGACTTGATAATGGTCCTGGACATGATAGTGGTCCAGTACTTGACAGTGGACCAGGACTTGATAATGGCCCAGGACTTCATATTGGTCCAGGACTTGACAGTGGTGTAGGATTTGATAATGGTCCAGGACTTGATTATGGTTCAGGACTTGATAATAGTACAGGACTTGACAGTGGTTCATGACTTGATAGTGGTCCAGGACATGATAATGGTTCTGGACTTGATAATGGCCCAGGACTTGACAGTGGTCCAGGAATTTATAATGATCTAGTACTTGATAATGTTCTAGTAATTGATAGTGGTCCAGGACTTGATAATGGTCCAGGTCTTGACCGCGGTACAGGACCTGACAGTGGTCCAAGACTTAATAACAGCCAACGACTTGATAGGGGTCCAGGACATGACAGTGGTCCAGGACTTGAAAATGGTACAGTACATGATAGTGGTCCTGGACTTGATAATAGTCCAGGACTTGACAGTGGCCCAGGACTTGACAGTGATCGAGGAATTGATAATGGCCCAGAAATTGACAGTGGTCCAGGTCTTGATAAAGGTTCAGGAATAGACAGTGGTCCAAGACTTTATAATGGCCCAGGAGTTAATATTGGTCCAGGACTTGATAATGGTAGAGAACATGACAGTGGTCCAGGACTTGATAATGGTTCAGGAATTGACAGTGGTGCAGGACTTTATAATGGCCCAGGAGTTAATATTGGTCTAGGACTTGATAATGGTAGAGGACTTGACAGTGTTCTAGGACTTGAGAGTGGTGCAGGACTTGATAATGGCCCACGACTTGATAGTGGTCCAGGACTTGATATTGGTCCAGGATTTGCCCGTGTTCCAAGACTTGACAGTGGTCCAGGACTTTATAATTGCCCACGACTTGATAGTGGTCTAGGACTTGACAGTGTTCTAGGGCTTGATAATGGTCTAGTACTTGATAGTGGTCCAGGATTTGATAATGGTCCAGGACTTCACAGTGCTACAGGACTTGAAAATAGTTCAGGAATTGACAGTGGTCCAGGAGTTGATAATGGTCCAGGATTTGATAATGACGCAGGACTTGATAATGGTTCAGGACTTGATATTGGTCCAAGACTTGATAATGGGCCAAGACTTGACAATGGTCCAGGACTTGATTATGGTCTAGGACTTGATAATGGTCCAGGATTTGATAATAGTCCAGGATATGATAATGGTCCAGGGCTTGATAATGGTCCTGGACTTGATAGTGGACCAGGATATGATAGTGGTCCAGGATATGATAATGGTCCAGGACTTGTTAATAGTTCAGGACTTGATAGTGATCCAGCACTTGATAATGGTCCAGAACTTGATAGTGGTCCGGGACTTCACAGTGGTCCTGGACTTGATACAGGTCCAGGACTTGATTGTGGTCCAGGTCTTGATAATGATCCAGGACTTGATAATGGTGAAGGACTTGATAATGGTCCAGGACTTGACAGTGGTCCAGGACTTGATAATGGTCCTGGACTTGATAATGGTCCAGGACGTGACAGTGTTCCTGGACATGATAGTGGTCCAGGACTTGATAATGGTCAAAAACTTGATAATGGTCCAGGACTTGATAATGGTCTTGGATTTGATAGTGGTCCAGGACTTGTCAGTGGTCCAGGGCTTGATAATAACTCAGTACTTGATAGTGGTCCAGGACTTAACAGTGGTCAAGGACTTGATACTAGCCCAGGACTTGATAATGGTACAGGATGTGATAATGGTCCAGTACTTGATAATGGTCCTGGTCTTGATAGTCGTCCAGGACTTGACAGTGGTCCATTAATTGATAATGGTCCTGGACTTGATAGTAGTCCAGGACTTGGCAGTGGTCCTGAACTTGATAAAGGTCCAGGACTTGATAATGGTCCTGGACTTGATATTAGACCAGGACATGATAGTGGTCCAGGACTGGTTCAGGACTTGATAGTGGTCCAGGTCTTGACAGCGGTCCAGGACCAGACAGTGGTCCAGGACTTTATAGTGGCCCACGACTTGATAGGGGTCCAGGATTTGACAGTGGTCCAGGACTTGATGATGGTCCAGTACTTGATAGTTGTCCAATACTTCATAATGGTCCAGAACTTGACAGTGGTGCAGGACTTGAGAATGGTTCAGGAATTGACAGTGGTCCAGGAGTTGATAATGGTCCTGGACTTGATAATGACGCAGGACTTGATATAGGTCCAAGACTTGATAATGGTCTAGGACTTGACAGTGGTCCAGGACTTGATAATGGTCTAGGACTTGATAATGGTCCAGGATTTGATAATAGTCAAGGATTTGATAATGGTCCAGGGCTTGATAATGGTCCTGGACTTGATAGTGGACCAAGATATGATAGTGGTCCAGGACATGATAATGGTCCAAGACTTGATAATAGTTCAGGACTTGATAGTGGTCCAGGACTTGATAATGGTCTAGGACTTGATAGTGGTCCAGGATTTGACAATGGTCCTGGACTTGATAAAGGTCCAGGATTTGATAGTGGTTCTGGTCTTGATAATGGTCCAGGACTTGATAATGGTCCTGGACATGATAGTGGTCCAGTACTTGACAGTGGACCAGGACTTGATAATGGCCCAGGACTTCATATTGGTCCAGGACTTGACAGTGGTGTAGGATTTGATAATGGTCCAGGACTTGATTATGGTTCAGGACTTGATAATAGTACAGGACTTGACAGTGGTTCATGACTTGATAGTGGTCCAGGACATGATAATGGTTCAGGACTTGATAATGGCCCAGGACTTGACAGTGGTCCAGGAATTTATAATGATCTAGTACTTGATAATGATCTAGTACTTGATAGTGGTCCAGGACTTGATAATGGTCCAGGTCTTGACCGGGGTGCAGGACCTGACAGTGGTCCAGGACTTAATAATAGCCAACGACTTGATAGGGGTCCAGGACTTGACAGTGGTCCAGGACTTGAAAATGGTACAGTACATGAAAGTGGTCCTGGACTTGATAATGGTCCAGGACTTGACAGTGGCCCAGGACTTGACAGTGATCGAGGAATTGATAATGGCCCAGAAATTGACAGTGGTCCAAGACTTTATAATGGCCCAGGAGTTAATATTGGTCCAGGACTTGATAATGGTAGAGAACATGACAGTGGTCCAGAACTTGATAATGGTTCAGGAATTGACAGTGGTGCAGGACTTTATAATGGCCCAGGAGTTAATATTGGTCCAGGACTTGATAATGGTAGAGGACTTGACAGTGGTCTAGGACTTGAGAGTGGTGCAGGACTTGATAATGGCCCACGACTTGATAGTGGTCCAGGACTTGATATTGGTCCAGGATTTGCCAGTGGTCCAGGACTTGACAGTGGTCCAGGACTTTATAATGGCCCACGACTTGATAGTGGTCTAGGACTTGACAGTGTTCTAGGACTTGATAATGGTCTAGTACTTGATAGTGGTCCAGGACTTGATAATGGTCCAGGACTTCACAGTGGTACAGGACTTGAGAATAGTTCAGGAATTGACAGTGGTCCAGGAGTTGATAATGGTCCAGGATTTGATAATGACGCAGGACTTGATAATGGTTCAGGTCTTGATATTGGTCCAAGACTTGATAATGGGCCAGGACTTGACAATGGTCCAGTACTGGATTATGGTGTAGGACTTGATAATTGTCCAGGATTTGATAATAGTCCAGGATATGATAATGGTCCAGGGCTTGATAATGGTCCTGGACTTGATAGTGGACCAGGATATGATAGTGGTCCAGGATATGATAATGATCCAGGACTTGTTAATAGTTCAGGACTTAATAGTGATCCAGCACTTGATAATGGTCGAGAACTTGATAGTGGTCCGGGACTTGACAGTGGTCCTGGACTTGATAAAGGTCCAGGACTTGATAGTGGTCCAGGTCTTGATAATGGTCCAGAACTTGATAATGGTGAAGGACTTGATAATGGTCCAGGACTTAATAATGGTCCTGGACTTGATAATGGTCCAGGACTTGACAGTGTTCCTGGACATGATAGTGGTCCAGGACTTGATAATGGTCAAAAACTTGATAATGGTCCAGGACTTGATAATGGTCTCGGATTTGATAGTGGTCCAGGACTTGACAGTGGTCCAGGGCTTGATAATAACTCAGTACTTGATAGTGGTCCAGGACTTGACAGTGGTCAAGGACTTGATAATGGCCCAGGACTTGATAATGGTGCAGGATTTGATAATGGTCCAGTACCTGATAATGGTCCTGGTCTTGATAGTGGTCCAGGACTTGACAGTGGTCCAGGACTTGATAATGGCCCACGCCTTGATAGTGGTCCAGGACTTGATAATGATCCAGGACTTGACAGAGGGTCCAGGACTTGAGAGTGGTCTAGGACTTTATTATGGCCCACGACTTGATAGTGGTCCAGGACTTGACAGTGGACCAGGACTTGAAAATGGTACAGTACATGATAGTGGTCCAGGACTTGATAATGGTCCAGGACTTGACAGTGGTTCAGGTCTTGATAATGGTTCAGGAATAGACCAGGACTCAGACAGGAATAGACAGGACTTTACAATAACCCACGACTTGATAGTGGTCCAGGACTTGACAGTGGTCCAGGACTTGAAAATGGTATAGTACATGATAGTGGTCCAAGACTTGATAATGGTCCAGGACTTGACAGTGGTCCAGAACTCTATAATGGCCCAGGAGTTAATATTGGTCCAGGACTTGATAATGGTAGAGGACTTGATAGTGGTCCAGGACTTGATAATGGTTCAGGAATTGACAGTGGTGCATGACTTGATAATTGCCCAGGAGTTACCATTGGTCCAGGAATTCATAATGGTAGAGGAATTGACATTGGTCTAGGACTTGACAGTGGTCCAGGACTTGATAATGGCCCACGACTTGATAGTGGTCCAGGATTTGATAATGGTTCAGGATTTGACAGTGGTCGAAGACTTGACAATGGTCTAGGACTTTATAATGGCCTTCGACTTGATAGTGGTATAGGACTTGACAGTGGTCCAGGACTTGATAATTGTCCAGTACTTGATAGTGGTTCAGGACTTGACAGTGGTAAAGGACTTGATAATGGCCCAGGAGTTGATAGTGGTCTAGGACTTGATAATGGTCCAGGACTTGACAGTGGTTCAGGACTTGACAGTGATCCAGGACTTGATAATGGCCCAGGACATGATAGTGGTCGAAGACTTGACAGTGGTCCAGAACATAATAATGGTCCAGGGACTTGATAATGGTCCAGGACTTGATAATGGTCCAGGACTTGATAATGGTCCAGGACTTGACAGTGGTCCAGGACTTGATAATGTTCCAGGACATGATAATGGTCAAGGACTTGATAATGGTCCAGGACTTGATAATGGTCCAGAACTTGATAATGGTCCAGGACTTGTTAATGGTCCAGGACTTGATAATGGTGCAGGACTTGATAATTTTCCAGGACTTGATAATTTTCCAGGACTTGATAATGGTCCAGGACTTGATAATGGTCCAGGACTTGATAATGGTCCAGGACTTGACAGTGGTTTATGACTTGATAGTGGTCCAGGACATGATAATGGTCCAGGACTTGATAGTGGTCCCGGACTTGATAATGGTCCAGGACTTGGTAATAGTCCAGGACTTGATAATGGTCCTGGACTTGATAATAAATGTGGAGGGTATGGAGAGGGTCCTGCTGGTTGTGTTGCTGGCCATGTATGATGGACCTTGTTTTAATTTTATGTTATGCTCTCCACTACAGTCTAAGCATTCAAGTGTCTCGGAATTCCTGTGGTTTTTGTTCCCTGGCCAGGTGGTGTTAAGTGTACCCTGGCCAGGTGGTGTTAAGTGTACCCTGGCCAGGTGGTGTTAAGTGTACCCTGGCCAGGTGGTGTTAAGTGTACCCTGGCCAGGTGGTGTTAAGTGTACCCCTGGCTAGGTGGTGTTAACTGTACCCCTGGCCAGGTGGTGTTAAGTGTACCCTGGCCAGGTGGTGTTAACTGTACCCTGGCCAGGTGGTGTTAAGTGCACCCTGGCCAGGTGGTGTTAGGTGCACCCTGGCCAGGTGGTGTTAAGTGTACCCTGGCCAGGTGGTGTTAAGTGCACCCTGGCCAGGTGGTGTTAAGTGCACCCTGGCCAGGTGGTGTTAAGTGTACCCCTGGCCAGGTGGTGTTAAGTCTACCCCTGGCCAGGTGGTGTTAAGTGTACCCTGGCCAGGTGGTGTTAAGTGCACCCTGGCCAGGTGGTGTTAAGTGTACCCTGGCCAGGTGGAGTTAAGTGTACCCTGCCCAGGTGGTGTTAAGTGCACCCTGGCCAGGTGGTGTTAAGTGCACCCTGGCCAGGTGGTGTTAAGTGTACCCCTGGCCAGGTGGTGCTAAGTGTACCCTGGCCAGGTGGTGTTAAGTGTACCCTTGCCAGGTGGTGTTAAGTGTACCCTGGCCAGGTGGTGTTAAGTGTACCCCTGGCCAGGTGGTGTTAACTGTACCCCTGGCCAGGTGGTGTTAAGTGTACCCTGGCCAGGTGGTGTTAAGTGTACCCCTGGCCAGGTGGTGTTAAGTGTACCCTGGCCAGGTGGTGTTAAGTGTACCCTGGCCAGGTGGTGTTAAGTGTACCCCTGGCCAGGTGGTGTTAAGTGTACCCTGGCCAGGTGGTGTTAAGTGTACCCCTGGCCAGGTGGTGTTAAGTGTACCTTGGCCAGGTGGTGTTAAGTGTACCCTGGCCAGATGGTTTTAAGTGTACCCCTGGCCAGATGGTGTTAAGTGGTTCTGAGTCCTGGTCCAGCTCCCTCGGGCTGTCCTTGTAGCTCAAGCCCCTTACCTCTAGAACCAGTCTGGCTGCACATTTTTGGATTTTTTGTTGTTTCCAATTTTATTTTCTGTTTCTTTAGGTTATGGGGTTCCGTGCTGGGGCAGCGTACTCAATAGCAGCTCCCACGACGGATGTATACAGAGAACGGAAGGGATCTACAGAATATACAGAATATATATATATGTTAAAGTTGATCCTATCTCACAACCTTGATCCTAATGCCTCACAACCTTGCTTTTGTCGGAGTTTAAGTCTAGTAGCCATTTCTCTGACAATCTCCGGTGATTGTTTGAAACACCTGGTGTTCTGTAGTCCTCCTGATGAGCCTCGTTAGCTTAGCCTCGTTAGCACACACACACGTACACCCACACGCACACACGCACACACGCACACACGCACACACAGGTATGGGTTCACTTCCCCTCTGTGATCGTTGATATATCTTAACGTCAGGAGTGGTACTCTCTCATGACTGTGAGCGTGAGCACGCTACACTGTGTGCGTTCACGCTACACTGTGTGCGTTCACATGTGACTGTGCGTGCACGCTTTACTGTGTGCGTGCACGCTTTACTGTGTGCGTGCACGCTTTACTGTGTGCGTGCACGACTTACTGTGTACGTGCACGCTTTACTGTGTGCGTGCATGCTTTACTGTGTGCGTGCACGCTTTACTGTGTGCGTGCACGCTTCACTGTGTGCGTGCACGCTTTACTGTGTGCGTGCACGCTTTACTGTGTGCGTGCACGCTTTACTGTGTACGTTTACATGTGACTGTGTGCGTGCACGCTTTACTGTGTGCGTGCACGCTTTACTGTGTACGTTTACATGTGATTGTGTGCGTGCACGCTTCACTGTGTGCGTGCACGCTTTACTGTGTACGTTTACATATGACTGTGTGCGTGCACGCTTTACTGTGTGCGTGCACGCGTGACTGTGTGCGTGCACGCTTTACTGTGTGCGTGCACATGTGATTGTGTGCGTGCACGCTTTACTGTGTGCGTGCACATGTGACTGTGTGCGTGCACGCTTCACTGTGTGCGTTCACATGTGATTTTGTGCGTGCACGCTTCACTGTGTGCGTGCACGCTTTACTGTGTACGTTTACATGTGACTGTGTGCGTGCACGCTTTACTGTGTACGTTTACATGTGACTGTGTGCGTGCACGCTTCACTGTGTGCGTGCACGCTTCACTGTGTGCGTGCACGCTTTACTGTGTGCGTGCACGTGTGACTGTGCGTGCACGCTTACCTGTGTGCGTGCACGTGTGACTGTGTGCGTGCACGTGTGACTGTGTGCGTGCTCGCTTCACTTTAAACGTGTAGGCTTGACTGTATTCACCTAGTTGTGCTTGCGGGGGTTGAGTTTTGCTCTTTCGGCCCGCCTCTCAACTGTCAATCAATCAACTGTTACTAACTACTAACTAACTACTTTTTTCCACACATACATACACACACACACACACACACACACACACACACACACACACACACACACACACACACACACACACACACACACACACACACACACACACACACACACACACACACACACACACACACACACACACACACACACACACACACACATATTAAGGTTTTCAGGCTAGGCCGGTACAACAAAGACCGAGACCGAGTGATAAAGATAGTGTTTGCAAACGAGAACACAAAGGAGAAGATCCTATCAAGGAAGAGCTCCCTGAAAAACGTGGGAAAATTAAGAAATGTATTCCTCCAGAGAGACATGACAAGGGAGGAGAGAGCCGTGGCGGCAGAAGCAAGGAAGAGGCGCAGGGCGAGAGGGGAAAACCAGGAAGTCACAGCTCCCAACACAACACCCCCAGAGGCAGAGGGGAACCCACAACCAGCTACCCAGTAACACCAGAACGGAGGACAACCCCGCCTCCCTCCTCTGCATAGAAAACCCCCCTACCCCAAACCCTCCCTGCCCCCACTCAAATGTTCAGCCAAATCTCCCTCCTCCCACACCCAATCCCCACCCTTCTACCCCTCCCCTCCTCCCGAGTCCTCCCTCCCCCCCTTTCCTTCCCATCCTCCCTCCCCTTTCATCCCATACCCTCCCTGTCCCTCCCCCTTCACTGGATCCCCCTGCCCCTCATCCCAGTATCCTCTGAGACCCTGTTATCCACCTCACAGGTCCTCACACCCATGGAACAGCCTCCCCCACCAGCAGAACACTCACCAAGGAGGCGATTTGAGAAGGGACAGAAGAAAGTGAGCCTCAAAGCGATGTACACTAACATAGATGGAATTACAAATAAAGCAAATGAGCTTAGAGAACTGGTACTAGAGGAAAACCCAGACATAATAGCCCTCACAGAAACAAAGATCACGAAAACGATAACAAATGTAGTGTTCCCACAGGACTATTATGTTATGAGGAAAGAGAGGGAAGGAAGAGGTGGGGGTGGTGTAGCTCTGCTGGTAAGAAAAGGCTGGGATTTTGAGGAGATGAATATTCAGGGCTGTGAAGGTTTCAGTGACTACATAGCAGGTACTGTAACAAATGGAGGGAAAAAAATTATAGTCGCAGTCATATATAATCCACCACCAAATGACAGAAGACCTAGACAGGAATATGATAGAAACAACATGGCCACCATTAACATAATAGAAAGAGCAGCTTCTGTTGCTAGCAGGAATGGATCTGGACTACTAATTATGGGAGACTTCAACCAAGGGAAGATAGATTGGAAGAACAGAGACCCGCATGGAGGACCAGAAACAAGGAGAGCTAAGCTGCTGGACGTGGCAACAAGAAACTTTCTAAGCCAGCACACCAAAGAACCAACAAGAATGAGAGGAGAAGATGAACCAGCAATGCTTGATTTGATATTTACCCTAAATGAATGGGATATAAGGGAAGTTAAGATGGAAGCGCCCTTGGGAATGAGTGACCACAGTGTATTGAACTTTGAGTACCTGGCAGAACTAGGACTTATCTCCCCCCAAAAAGAACTAGGAATCAAAAGGCTGGCATACCGAAAGGGGAATTATGAACAGATGAGAAGTTTCCTAAGTGAAATACCTTGGGACACAGACCTCAGAGACAGGTCTGTACAGGGTATGATGGACTATGTTACCCAAAAGTGTCAGGAGGCAGTAAACAGGTTCATTTCGGCCCAAAGGGAAAAATCCGAGAAGCAACAGAAGAATCCATGGTATAATAGGGCATGTATGGAAGCGAAGAAACTGAACAAAAAGGCGTGGAGGAACTTCCGGAATAACAGAACACCAGAAAGCAGAGAGAGATACCAGAGAACCAGGAATGAGTACATCAGGGTGAGAAGAGAAGCAGAGAAAAATTTTGAAAATGATATAGCAAACAAAGCCAAGACCGAACCAAAGCTACTCCACAGTCACATCAGAAGGAAAACAACAGTGAAAG